AAACGGAACGCTGAAGGCTCTGAGGTTGAGATAGGATTGGAAAATGGCTGAATCTGCTTATCACATGGAAGCGCTTAGACGTCAGAGAGTTATAGATAGGAAGAAAGCCGCCCTTGACAAAATGATGCATGGTGGAAATCAGGTATATATAAATCATATATTGGAAATTGAGACTTTATAATACATGTATCAGATATTTCCAATTTGCCAAACAGTGCTCTTTGTTAATCATAAACCTGTACATGGATATCATGTTAACTGTTAATAACTCTAACCTAGGCGTCTTTTAGCATTGAATCACAAATAAACTGTTTGAGTAAGACTAAGTTTGCGTTCAAAGGGATCAACTAATTTTGATATTCATGAATATCTTTTTTGAATTTAGGACTCTGTGGAGAATGTTGACCAAAGCAATGCTAAAAATACGATTTTGTTCAGTGGTCCAGGTGATTATGATACAAACAGGTAAAACTTGATTTTTCCTATCAAAATAGCAAATACAATTAAAATAAATTAATTAAATTACCAAATTAACAACTTGACATAACTTAACAATGCTCTTTGCACATTAATTAAACCAAGGATTAGATTATTATAAATCAAAAGTTGAAACTAATTTCTCATATTAATCTTATTTAAAGAATGAATTGGAAAAATGAAAGTTTTCTACACCTCTCTTTCTTTTTAATAATATATACAGCCACTAATTTATCCTATTAATTAATTTTTCATCAGTATCACAAGTGTTGCCTCTATTGCAGAGGAGTGTCTACAGTGAAGTTTGTTACTGTAGTTATGCTTATACATGTTTTTTTCATAGAAATCTTATCTCTGTATTTTTACTTCCTTTTTTTTATGTTATACCATAATATTTCCCCTGATTAACAACTTACTTGTAGGTGTTTTGTCTGAATGAAATTGTAAAGTTACCACAAAATGCATTTTTTGATGTTAGACCCTCAATGTCGATTTTTTTTCTCTACTTTTTGTTTAAACTTTTAAAGTAATTTTTTGTAATATAGTGGCCGCAGAAATGCACAAAAGCACATGATGTCACATATCCTATCAACCTCAAAACTGCATGAATACAATCTATTAAGAATTTTATTGCGGGAGAAGTTGGCACATTGTATAACTAATAGTAAGGAAAGTAACTGCACATTGAATGCATGACTACAACAGGTGTAAATGAACATTAAAAAAAAAATTCCACATACTATTGGATTTTTATTTTATGTGATAATCCTTAGATAGCATGAGTAAAAATGCATGTTTCCTGTTTGTCAGAGGACTTAACAGACACCTTTCTGCCCTTTTAGATGCAGTGGATCGCGGCCACCAAAACCGCATAGAGAGATGAGTGTGGTTTTGCAGGAGGTTGTTCATGACCCTAACTTTAATTATAGAATACTTAAAGAAGAGGGTGAACCCCCTTTGCATGTTGATCCTATTTATAGAATTATGTACCCTGGAGCTGTTATTTACAAAAATGTATGTTGATATTTCAGCTTAAATAATAGATAATTTTTCTTTTATATTAACCTGTATAATCCTCTGTTAATATGGTGAAATTGCATGCAGCTCTATGTCTCTTTTCTTTGAGTGTTTCAACACATGCACAGTTTATCCCACTTAAGTGCATGTTCAGTACACTAGCTATGTAAATATTTATTTGCATGCATGTTTTAAAACACAACACCCATTACTTTATGACTTGCTGGTTTAGAATTTAAAATTTACATATACATGTATAGTCCCCTTTAAAATAATTCCTCCCCTCTTTCCAGAATGAAATCTGTTAAAAGTTGTGATACACTTTAATGTATTCTTAATAACCTGACCTTCTGTGTATATTTTACTGCATACCTCCTAAATTCCTGATAACAACCCTTGTTGTATTTAAAAGGAAGTTGGTATTTTTGGTGTATGGATAACGTGTGGATATTGGTTAGTGTGTAGTACAGGTACTTATAGATGCAACTATAGAATTCTTCTGGTGTTGAAAGGCTATGTATATCTGTGTGATAGAAAATATAATCACTTGTTTGATTTCACGGTGTCCTGTATAACATTATGAATACATGTACTCTTTTCATCATCATATATATCAATGTCAGTCCGGTAGTACCATCATAACTCATTGATCAGTGATGTCACTATAATTTAAGCACCCATTCATGTACATTTACTTAAATAATGTAAATGAAAAACTATATGCAATATATTGATGGTAGCTTTAATATGTTTTATAAAGTAATCAGGAAATGTAGTGTAATTATATATAATTAAATTGACGTTCGAGTTTTCTTGATGGGTTTGGTGTGTTTTTGTGTGTTGAAGTCTGAAATAGGTACAGGGCAAGAATCACTTTAATTTATGTACTGCTTTGCATTAATTGTAGGAGTGAACTGTGCAGGTTTCGAGTCAACGGTGAAGGTTTTCAAAATCTTTATAGAAATCGTGATAATTTATATCCTCATGTTGACAAGGCTTTTGCATGCATTTACCCTGGAAAAGATAATTCTGATTACACGAATGATGAAAATCGCAACAATCGTAGGATGAATCTTAAACTAGACAAATACAATATAGACCAGCAAGTCAATGGAAAGTTCCACATGCAAGTTATTGAAGCAACACCTGAGTGACTGAAAATTTACATTTTTGTTGATTTTTTTGGTACTGTCTTTTTTTTTTTATAAAGATTTTTTTATTTGTTTTCAAATGAAGACAGTGTTAAATTAGCCTTGGTTTCCTGGACTTTTTGTAGGAATGAAATTGAGGCCACTCTAGGAGAAAAAGCTCAAGCAAAGAAGAATAAACCTTTACCTAAGAAACAATTGCCTGTTAAAAAACCTTCACCAGAATCAATTCGAAATATAAAGCGTAACATGGTTTTTAAGATACTCCATCCATATGATTTTGATTAGATATGCTGTTTTCTTCAATTTTGATTAAATTTTTGGCATTCCACATTGATTCATCGTTTGAAAAAAAAATCATGTTGGGTGCTAAATGTTGTTATTTGTAGATTTTTTTCCTGTACGTGTGTATGTGTGTGTGTGTTTGTGCGTAATTTGCCAATTTCTTTGTTAATTTATTAAATTAGAAATATTTTATCCCTTCCACTCTGGAGAATTGTAGATGTTGCTAACAGAATAACAAAACCTGATGTATTTGCTCAAAGCTAGTAACATGCCATACAGTATTTTTAATGCATTGTTTTTCATTGTTATGTCATTAGAGTGATTTTGTTGAGTTGTTTTAATCTGTGGAACCTTATTCAACTAGTCAGACCCAATATCAGTATTACGTAAAAGTGCATCTAATACTCTGTGAAAAACAGCTATTTTAATTGTTACATTTTTTTTTTACAGTGCTTTTATAACCTATTTATTACTTTGCATATTTACTACAGGAGCTCTGGGTGTTTTACTGGGTTGATTCCTAGAATGTTGTAATGGGATGAATTTTATGTAAAGAATTATGTTTTTAAAAAATACGCATAGCTCCTGGTAAAAATCTAGATTTCAACTTTATCTAACAATGTAGAAAAATAACATATGCGCGGAAATGGGGTTCTTCACCAGCTCGTAGTGATAAGAAGACATTTCAAGAAATCTACCCAAACATTAGCTTGTTTTCAATTTTTCAGAATAATCTTGCCAGCTCACAGAATCTATCATAGGAAAGCAGACAATACTCCAGAGGACAAAGTGTTTCCTTTACTTCATCCTAAGGAATATGAACATGAAAAACCAATAACTCAACTGCCTCCTAGAAAACCACACTTTAAAGTTTAAATAAGCGACGTTTTTCAATTCTAAAAAAAGCACATCTAGTCCACAAAGGAAACATTGCATTTTAACTTGTGTTGTCAGGAAGAAAACACTTCCATAGAATATGCCTTATGCAAATGTCTTTTGGTTCATATATTAGTGTGAAAATGTTGTGGGAAGTAACTGTTCAAATGTACAAATAATAGATGTAATCTCCCCATTAATGTAGATGCATTTACAACTGGATTGGAACAGAGAGATGTAGGAGGCAATATGACCACAGTCGTAATGGTCCAATTCTCCCTAGCACCTGGCATAATCTTCGACAAGAATTAAATTCTATAGGACGCAGTACACCATTATATGCTGGTGAAGGACGCCCTTCTAGATTTGATGATCTACTTGCAATAAGAAAGGTCAACCGTAAGAAATAGAGATAAATTGTAATGCATGCCTTTTTTTGTGTAACCTAATTTTTCTATTCAATTTCTTATCTTTTAATTCTTTGCTTGAACAGATAACTCATGCAGATTAAAGTATTTGCCATTTATCCAAGATTTGCTGTTTACTAAAGTGATTTGATATAATCAACTAGTTGTGTGATTTTCAAAGCTGGAAAATATTTTGAGGTGATATATGTTATCTTTGATATGGCTGTTAAGATAGGAAATATTTCCATGTTGAGTATTGTTGTTAATCTTTGGAAAACTGTATGGTGGCTGGTTTTTTTAATTCTTCTTCCAGTTGTGCTGACATTTTATCAGTATTATTTTTGCAATATATCTATATACACATTGTATTTGTTGTTTGCACTTTTGCACTTGTCCATGTACTTTTGTTGTTATTTACTTATTTATACCCACAGATGTCATATTTTTGTGATCATTTTGTTGATGCATTTTACAGTACGTGTTAGATATCAAGATTGAATCAGTTTGAAAACATTTAGTTTTTTAAAAGCATGCTATTTATTTTTCAGTTTTCTTTCAAATTATCAATGAAAAAAAATGTTCACAATTATATAATTTAAAAATGAGTGTACAGATTGCTTTTTTCATATTTCAATAAACATTTATTCTTGTGGTTTCTCCTTTTATCATTGTGCATGACATATGGGGCTACATAAAGAAAAGAACAAGATACAGTTACAATATAAATCTTGCCCTTTATTTTTCTGAAATATGAAAGTGATGTAAGAAATTAAAACTAGTGCTTTCTGAATCATTGTAATTCCATGCAGTAAGCTCATACAAATCCCTATATTTACATTCGCAGATGTTTTCCTTTATGTAAAACTATCTAAGCAAGGCGTATTTAATTCTGTGTAATAACAAATTCATAATTTGTCCTTAAATTCAATATTCAGTCATAAACGATTGACATATTTTTACAGTGACGTCATAAGTGGTAGACGAGTTTAACGCATTCAATTTATACCCTTGAGGTTTTAAAAAAAAAATCATTTTAGGGTTTAAAACTTCAGTACATAATGTACGTTGTAAATCAGTCTCAAATGTAAATACAGTTGAACTTCGATATCTTGAACACTGATATCTCGAATACCATGTATATGTTGAAGTGATTTGGAAGTCCCAACCCTTTGTTCTTTAAGTATTTTACCTTGGATATTTCAAATCCTCAGATATTTCGAAGTTTTTTCTTTGCGCCATTGAGTTCGAGATAGCGAGGTTTGACTGTATAAGTAATAAGGTATCATTTTAAAACTTTTATCGGGATATAATTGAATTCTGGTTATAACGCGGTGTTTGATTTTTTTTACTTTTACTTTATAATTTAATTTATAATTTAAAAATTTACTTTATATCATAAAAATTGGGTTGCCTACGTCACAATGACTTGCATCAAAAACGTATCAATCATCCGCCTGATGTTACATTTAAATTTCATTCAATTTGAAGTCATATTTTTAAAGGCAATCATTTTTTTCTTACACTAAATGAATGAAAATTAAATTACCAGGTATAAGGAATGAAATTAATAGCTACCCAATTTACATGGTATAGAGTGGTTTGGAACAGTTTGCTTTTTTATAAACCGCTTTGCGGTTTATAAAGCGTAAACTGTCCTTGGGGCATTATAGAATTTGATCATGTAGCCAACTTAATGTCAAATCCCAATAAAACTCTAAAACATTTTTCTTAATTGCATGCTATATGGCAGGGATAACTCCTGTGCACTGCATCTTGTACAAGTGACTGGAATAACAACAACGTAAATACTACTGCAGAAGTTATAGTTCTGGCTGTGTAAGTTTGTTAAAAATTTTCCATTTCATGCCAATATATATTACTGTTATAAATGTGCAATCAAATGTCATATTACAAAATTGTAAAGGTAACAAGGCAGCTTGTTCTCCTCATTCAAAAACACACAAAATAGCATCAAAACACACACAATAGCATCAAAAACACACATAATAGCAAACTGTTATTTTATTAAATAATACTTCATATATTAAGGACACATCAATAAAATATTACAGTTATTGTACAAAATAACCATTAACATGCAACTGCCAGCAATATATAAAGGACACAAAGCAACAAGTTCATTTGATGAATTCTCTGCACTTTTAAGGTTACCTCCCTTTAATCTGAAGATAATGACATCCTAAAATGGACTACAAATTTCTAGTAATTGTTTACACTGATTTAACCCAAAATGATGTGTAATAATGATCAAGAGACAGGAGTAGATGAGACTGCTGTAACACTTTCATGTACTCTGATTTGTCTACAGTTTGTATGCATTTTATTTTAAATTTGGTTCTCTTAAAACACATGTTCACAGTAATAGCAACAGTATAAAAAAAAATCAAAAAAGGAATGTTATAAACAACTTTACTACAATGTACACCATAATAATAACTGAATAAAATTGAGATATACACAAGTCGGACAAAATAAGAGATTGTAACATCCTTTCCTAGCAAATTTCCCTCCAGAATACCGTTTTGATTTTAAAAATCAATATCTACATTAAAAATATAATAGCTATAACTGTTTGCTACATGTACATAACCAAAAATAAGGCACCCAAAACAACAGCTTAAATATGGAACAATCACTTAAAATAGTGCTTAATGTATCACAAAGTTTAAAATATGTGTTACATAAATATATATTTGAATTTTGGTATGAAATATTAAAATTATACATACTATTTTATACAATATAGCTATACTGAAATAATACCCATATACCACAGAAATATTTTTTCATCACAGATATAGAAAAATTATATGCACCTATTTATAATTTTCATTTTAAATAAAAAATGACAAAAAATGAAACATACAAATGTTTATAATTTCATTTTGTAGTACAATCATTTATTGGAACAAAGCACATGAGCACCTTAATTTTTTAACCCTAATTTCATTTCAGTTTCTCATTAAAAAATCATGAACTGTCAGTTATAAATCATTATACTGTATTTTATATTTGAATCCCCACTAGTTAATCATATTCATTTTATTATAAATGCATCAATTCAACAAATAAAGAAATAAGAAAAAGGAAAATGAACCATATCACATCATAACTGATGACCTTATGGGGCACAACTACTCAAGCACCAGATATTTGCTTTGACATAGATATATATAAAATATCACACATATAGGTATACCACTATATATTCTATGTGAAGGATTTCCCCTAATGATATATAGGATGTTTCATAAATTTAGCAGCCAGTTTTTAAAATGCTTATGATTGTCTCATAAAAGTATAAGGCTACAAAAATCAAATTGGTAGTGAAAAATGCATTGATGAAATACCCAAGTACCATATTATCATGAGGAAAAAACAGGTCATCAAATATTACTCATCTCGACAAGCTCATCTCGACAAATGTAATCTTTATAAGTAAGCAGTCTCACACAAAACAAATGTTTTTGTAGTGTACAACCCTAGATATAACATCCATGCAAATTTGGTCCGAGTCTGATTTATAATCACTTAGCAGTGGCTTTAAATAACTTCCAACACCCAAAAATGAAGGCCAGATGCAGTATCCAAAACAGGTCTGGTATAGTGCATCACTAGATGCATGATCCCTGCAAATTTGGTTCAAATGGACTTCATATTTTTTTTTTAAATGGACCTGTTCCAAAAACTTTACTCTGCTCAATCAACCAGAAAATGTAGGTCAAAAGAGCTACCAAAGCATATCTGTTTGTGTGGATCCCTATATGCATCATCCATGCAAGTTTGGTCCAGTCATAGCATAGCTAATATAGTTAATTGGGAATGGACCACCTCCATAAACTCTTACTGGTCACTGATCCAAAAAATGAAGGTCGGCTTCTACATCCAAAGCAAGTATGGCAGTGCTTATCGCTAAATGCGTCCTCCATGCAAATTTGGTTACTAAAGACCTAATAGTTACTTGGGAATGGACCTGCTCCACAAACTTAAACCTGGTTACAACCAGGAAATGGTCAGATGCAGTACGAGAATCAAGTTTTTAGTGTGCATCTCTAGATACATGACCCATACAATTTTGGTGATCATAGGGCTCAGTTACTTGGGAATGGACCTGATGCACCTAAAACTTTCACTTTTCCTCCAGAAAATTAACATCAGATCCAGTATCCGAAGTATGTTGGGTAGTGTGCATCCTTAGATGCATTACCCATTTATAAAGTTTTATCACCACAGGACTCTCTATTACTTGGGAATGGACCTGCTCCAAAAACTTTAAGCTGGTCACTAATATGAAAAGTTAGGTCAGATCCAGTATCCAAATCATACCTGGTAGTGTGCATCCCTAGATGTTATGGTTCAAGTATGGCTGATAGGTACTTGGCAATGGAATTGCTCATAAAACTTTGAATGGGATGCCAACGCCAGGGATATACTCATATTGGGTCGAGGTGAGCTAAATACATTTTATTACTGAAATGATAAGGTTGCTTACTGTCTAAATTGTGGCAGAAAATGTAAACAGATGAGACTTGAAAGGACTCAAGCATAAGGCAGTGATTACTACTTAAAAGTACTAATAAAAAAAGCATAGAAAGCAAAAATCTTTATATGTAATTAGATATTACACCAGAAATGATATATATATGAATGTGATTAGCACCTAAAACGCAAGTCACTTAAATCATAGATAAAATGTTCAAATATATTACATATTTTGAGATACAGAAGCTTATGATTACACTTAGATATTCCGTTGTTAAATACTTAATTCTATGACATTGACAATACAGTTATAACCAAGCCAACTTATTGTCCTTAACAGACCAGAGAAAGAAAAAGGAACATACCAGTTAAACTCCAAATGATGATTTATGTACAAGTTGGACCGCCTATAAGTTGGTTGTATTTTTTAAGTTTAAATTAGAGGGATTGACCTGCTAAAATACCAATCTTTTTATAACTCGAGTATAAGTCGGATAAAGAGTTTTGGACAAAAGTTTAACTCCCTAAAAAAAAACGACTTATATATATGGTACCTTATAAGGTAGGCAAGAGAGAGAGGGGGAGAGTTAATTACAACAAATATAAATGCCTTCTATTACTTCCTGCACCCCCTCCCCCCATACAAGATAAGTTTACAAATGATAGCAAATGACATTTCATAAAAACGTCCAGAAATAATGGACATGCACACACATACACAGTACAATTTGTATGATAACAACTGCAAAAGGTTACAAAAGAAAAATTAAACCTCTCAGATCATAAAAGCAGTTAATTTAAAAAGAACAATAAAATCAGATGCAAAATAAGCAATCTTTTTACACCCCATTTTAAAAAAATAGTAATATACAATTTTGCTGTTAAAGACTTTATTTTTTGTTAGAGATAGATAAACAAATTTTAAACTCCTGAAATGGTACAGTCAAACCTTCTTATCTTGAAATTGATGGAATTGTCAAAAAACATCAATCTATTTGGGAATTTGATATTTAGGGGTTAAAATACATAAAAAAAAGTAGCTGGGACTTCCAACTCATTCAGTATATCCACGATCTTCAAAATATTGATGTGCAAAATACCAAAGCTGTACTTTGTTGGTACATTGTATATAAAACAGATAAATGCACAAATGTAAATAGCATTGTTTCACTTTTTCTTTTTTAACTAACAAAGAATTAATAAATGCTTGTAAAAACAAATATAAATAATCAATGTACAATAGGGTACCAGAATAAAACAAACTTGATAAATCACAACCATATTGCAAAAAATAAGGGGGAAATGTATATTTAAAAAAATGCAAAATCTATAAATACCCAACAAGATATGAACTTGGAATGGATTACCTGATATAGTGGATTGTTAAAGGTGATTTAGAGAGAAACACGTTTATGTAGATCAAATACACTCACACCTTGTCAAATTGATGTAAAGTAAGTACCATCAAATAAATAAAAAAAAAATCATGAACTAAATCTGTAAATTTTTTTGGACAAAAATAATAAAATAAATCCTCATAATGAGGGGGGGGAAGTAAACATTTTTATCAAGAACTGGATGTAGAATGTTATACTTCTACAGGCTCTGTGGCATCTTTAGGATCAAATGGAAGTGGGTCATGGTTTACACTTTCATCATCAGCTTCATCTCTGGTCACCCTAGAAATAAGATTCAACATCATACACAGAGAATTCAATTTTACGTCCCATTACATACTAATCAGTATTGCTAATTCACCACTTCATTCTCACAAATTAATATTCCAGACTAGTGAATTACTTTGAAAACAAAATATTATAAATGGAAGTACATATACTAAAAAGAATTTTCAAAATGCTTCTTATCCTTTTTTTCATAATCAAAAGTAATTTGGAAGCATAATTTTCAGACTGGACACCAAAAAATAATTTTACAGATAGGGGCATACAAATTATCTAACATGTACCTGTGTAATAACAGTACATGTACTATATTTTACATTTACTGTATCTTTTGCTCATTATCTTAAAGAATAGTTAGGTATTAAAGACTTTCAAGCAAGGCACTAAAAATACCAAATTGACCCAAATAAGGAAAGTACAGGTACATGTACACTTACCCACCAGCTGAAGACACAGAAGAAGAAATGGACGGTGTCCTTCTAATGTCAGACTGAAATGTTGACAACAACTTTGTGCTACGATCACTGTACGAACTAGCAGGAGCATAGATGTCTGGATTCGGACCAGGATCATAATAATGACCATTTCTAAAATAGCCTGATGAGAAATCATTACTTTTGGAACTGATCACAGTATTTTGTGTGGATTTTTTGACACTTTCGTTCCTGTTTCTACTTTTATCTGGCAGTAATGTTGAAACAGAATTGCGTATTTTGGCATAAGAAGGCAGCGTGTGACTGTGATATTCGACAGGGACTGGTGCACTGCTGTAATAACTGGCTTGAGAGGCAATGTTGCTGTCACTCTCTGCTCGTGTGACATTAGGAACAGCATACTGATGGTTCTGCCTTTTTTCTGGGACATCTATGTATGAGATCTTGCTCCCTGCTGCCTCTGCTGAATCACCAGATCCATTCTGCTCCTAAAATGAAAAATACTTATTCTTTGAAGCTTGAATTCAGTAATGTGCCTTTAGAGTATTTGACTTATCATTGATTACTAATAATGCTTTAAATAAAAATTTATTCCTCTGACACTGGTAGCATTCAAAGTTGTGTACATCTAATTTTTGTAATTTTAATGAAAACAAAGGATTTGAATATTGTACAATTTAATTATTTCTTATTCAGGTAACCACAAAATACTGCAAAAATTAATCAACCATAGAAGTAAAAATGACCTTAAAAACATAGGTAATCAGAGATTACAGAGCTCACCTCAACGAATGTTGTCTTTAAGTAAGGCAAAGTCCCACACTAAACTAATAATCTAGGAGTGTGCATCCCTAGATGTAACATTTATGCAATTTTGGTTTGACAGGGCTTGTAGTTACTTGGGAATAGACTTATCTGAAAACTTAAAACTAGTCACTCATCCAGAAAATGTAAGTCAAATCCAGCATCCGAAGCAAGTTTTGAGATTGTTCGTCCCTTGATGCATCATCCATGCAAGTTTGGTTCAGATAGGCCTTATAGTTACTTGGAAATGAGATCTGCTCCAAAAACTTTAACCTGGTTACTCATCGGGAAAATATAGGTCAGATCCAGCATCCGAAGCAAGTCCAGTAGTGTGAATCCTTAGATGTATCATCCATGCAAGTTTGGTCAATATAGGGTTTATAGCTACTTGGAAATGACATCTGTTCCAAAAACTTTAACCTGGTCACTCATCCGGAAAATGTAAGTCAAATCCAGCATCCGAAGCAAGTCCAGTAGTGTGCATCCTTAGATGTATCATCCATGCAAGTTTAGTCAATATAGGGCTTATAGTTACTTGGAAATGAGATCTACTCCAAAAACTTTAACCTAGTCACTCATCCAGAAAATGTAGGTCAGATCCAGCATCCGAAGCAAGTTCAGTAGTGTGCATCCTTAGATGTATCATCCATGCAAGTTTGGTCAAGATAGGGCTTATAGTTACTTGGAAATGAGACCTGCTCCAAAAACTTTAACCTGCTCCAAAAACTTTAAATTGCTCCAAAAACATTAACCTGGTCATTCTTCAGCTGAAATTGCAGCATCTGAAACCTTGACTGGCACAATAAAACACACTAGAAGCATCCTCCATGCATCTCTGACTAATATAGGCCATAGAAGTACTTGAAAAGAAAACTGCTCCAAAAACCTTAACCTGGGACGCCGACGCCGAGGGTATTACATAAGCTCCCCCAACTTCGTTGAGGTGAGCTAAAAATTATTCCCTGAACACTCAACTGAAAGTGCCATTAAAATATGATCAAGTGATAAAACAGAAATAAAAATTTACCAACATGAATAGTGCAGACAGTATAAAAAAGATCCTTTTTACTGTAAACCAAGTTAAGAGACTATAATAAGCTTTAAGTACCTGACTTCCAATCTGATTATCTTCCAACATCTGTTTGGCCCATTCTATCAGACCCAATGCATCAGAGGGAATGCTGACCCCCGGGTCTTTCTTATGGACCAATACAAGCACTCGACACATCTGATGGATGACACCTCTGTTGGAAAGATGCAGTATTTTCAATAAAGTTATTCTATAAAGGTACTACCTCCCAGGTAAGTGTTAAAAAGTATTCAAACAAAATATTTTTCTCCTTGTATACAAACAGTGCATATTTCATGACGTGAAGAATTTTTTTTAGTTTCTACTATGTGTAATTCTAAAGAATCTGTAAGCAATATTAGGAATATTTAACTTGTGCATACAGGTAAAAATGTTAAAAAAATTTGCTCAAATGAACACAGCATTATTTGTATACAGCAATGTGTTTATCCCTGATAGTACCAAGGTAATTGCATACAGTGTCAAAATAAAGAATGTGAAGTTTCTTAAGTCATTGACTTGCAAGTAGAAAAATGCATACAGTGTCAAAATAGAGAATGTGAAGTTTTTGAGCTACTGACTTGTAAATAGAAAAATGCATACAGTGTCAAAATAGAGAATGTGAAGTTTGAGTTGTTGATTTCTAAATAGAAAAATGTATACAGTGTCAAAATAGAGAATGTAAAGTTTTTTGAGCTACTGACTTGTAAGTAGAAACCCTAGTGTCCTGGGGATCCATAGCTCTTAGCTTCTGTCTGATGTTGTTAAGTAGGGCCAGTAATGACGGAGCCTGTGGCCTTAGTTTGTCCAGCTCAGCAAAATAAACCTCTTTATCCACAACACTCTTCCGTAATATGTCTGAATCTGGCTCTAAAGAAAAAGTAATATGTTTTTATGAAGCACTGTGTCCACAGCAATGGCAACTGGCAAATCCCTACTTTTAAGTAGTTTTTAATATTGAGCTAATATTTAGCGTTGACCTTCAAACTGACTGAATGTGTTGTCAGGAAAATGTTTTTTCAGAAAGAAATATAACACAGGAATTTATCCCAATCAAAGCTATTTTACTCTTACCTAAAACAAAAAACTTTGGCTACCTTAATTTATCCAAGTCTCAAATTTAAAGCAGGTAAAGCAGACGTGCATACCGTTATCATCATAAACTTATTCTTCAAAACAAAGAAGATTTAAAATACACTTACCAAATCCTTTATTGTCATAAAGAGGTATCTACAATATCAGAATATTACAATATATTGTAGTTATGGTAAAATATGATCGAATTTCATTCTTATTAATAATTACTCTCAATATTACTGATACTATGGAAATCAAAACAGATTTACAGGCGTATCCCTCTTTTGGTTTTCCTAGTAATAAATTAAAAAATCAAATTTATTTATTTTCATATATTTTATATTTTTTCTTTGGATACGAAATAAAAACAATTTAAAATCAACAAAGAATAGTATTTTCCTAAACAGCCATGGAACTTACCGTGGTATGAGTCCCAGACTGCATATTTTCTGCCTTATAGTGTTTCTGGTGCAGATTTATTTTTTTCCTATAGAACAAGCAAGTTAGCAATCTTAATCTATACTTATATAATAAATCAAAGATGACAAAATGATAATACATGTAATCTAAAAGTAAAAAGACCAAATTACCTTGTTCTCTTTATCTGACAATAAAATATAAGGCCCACCATAACACAAAGAAAAACCCCCACTGTCACTCCTGCCACCACACCAATGATCAAATCAATCTTATCACTGTCATTTTCATATCCTAAAAGGCAAGGCTTAAAATTAAAAAGTACCATAAAAACAGCTATGAACTATAATCAAAGAAAATTTGACTGTGTATGTATGAAAAACTGACAAAAACAGTTCACTTCAAGACCTCAAATTGTGATATATCAAAAACCAGGGATATGTCAAAGTAAATTCACAGGCCAAACTACATGTATAATTCAAATTCAAGCATGAACTTTGTTATCTTAATGAGTCAGATATCTTCATTTTTTCATCAGTTCCAGTTTGTGTTTGAGTTCTGAATTATAACTGTATGTCTATTTAAGGACATTTCCTACAAACAAACCTTAAAATAAATACATTTTACAACAAATCACATGTTAATATGAAGTTAAATGAATGAGTTTAGCTGTGTAAAGATTCACTGAAATTTTTCCCTTCATTTTCTCAACAATGTCCTATAAAGTGATAAAAAAAAATGTATAGACCTACAAGGGCTATGGCAAAAAGGCGGAAATTTAAACATCATAGACAGTCTACAATTTCTTAATAATTTAGTGATTTGATATTAAGAATAATTTACAACCAAAGAAATTCATACATACCAATCCATGCATACAATGTCATGTTTTGAAGCATGTGTCAAACACACTTGTCATGTCATCGTAAATTTAGAAATGAGCATTTTGAGTCAGGTCAATGATTTTTTTTCCCTTGATTTGATTCAGAAGTAAGAACTTTTTACACAATCATTCCTTACTTTTACAAACATTTCCTTGGAGGTGAGGAAGTTGTAATTTCTGAGCTTGTCCATTGCACTTTTCCAAACAGCTCAGTGTTTGATCATCCAGAAAATTTGTGCACCTGAAATAATAAAATCTGCATGCAGTAAATCCCAATGATTTCCTCCAAATACAATCAGAACTGCTTCATTTTATCTGTAAATTAATTAATTTATTATATTCATTACAATGGTATTATAGGATGAAACTTTACATGTACATGCATAAAGAATAAATTTCAGCATTAAATCCATTATCATTTCAAAATGATTCAAATCAATGATGTATCCAATGAGAACGTCTTGCAGGATGTATGGAGATAACGGCATACCTGCTGCATCTGTTTGCACCACATTCTAAACAGTCCTGCTGTGAACAACTCACTGAAACCAGAAAAAAAGTTTTAATAGTCATAGAAATACATACAGCAATTAAGTACATAAAAAATTAATCAAAATGATTCCTACAGATTTTTATAATTACACACCGTTTTGGCAGTCTTGTTGGTTGGAGTGTAGAACATAACCAAGTGAACACTGACAGCTGCCATTCACACATTGTGACTTCCAACCACAGCTGATATCTGAAGGACACAGTCCTGTAGAAAAATAAAAGTCAGGTTAAAAACATGATCTATCTAAATGAGGAGTCGGCCACACTACTGGAATCTTCAATCATAATTTCTGCTGCAGTGATCTGACAATTCCACAAAGGTAGACTGTATAGTTCTGTTGTATATGAAGCCAGTTCTTATCCCTTTTCAATTAAATTTTTCTAGTAGTAGTATGTTCAACCTTTCTTCAAGTTCACTGTAAATTATTTCATATTCTACTATGGTTATTGCAAAGATCAAAGAGATGCTGTGGTCATTGTTCTCCAATAAATCACAAATGTCATCATCAAATTATCAAAAATTAAAAATTTAAAATTAGTTCCCTCTAATTTTGGCTGTGTTCACTAAGAAAAGGATAGAGGTATCTTTTGATAGGAATGAATCAATATATCAATATGTATCAATATATCAATATGAATCAATATATCAATATGTATCAATATATCAATATGAATCAATATATCAATATGTATCAATATATCAATATGAATCAATATATCAATATGAATCAATATATCAATATGTATCAATATATCAATATGTATCAATATATCAATATGAATCAATATATCAATATGAATCAATATACCGGTATCAATATGTATCAATATATCAATATGTATCAATATATCAATATGTATCAATATATCAATATGTATCAATATATCAATATGTATCAATATCAAAGTGGGTATCATATCGAAACATTAACTTCCAATACATATAGGTCAGAGAGTTTTTCTTTTATGATTTGTTTTGCATGTTTTGAAATAAAATACCCAGTAATGAAATAAACATTAGGCAGACTGCACATCCCAAATATTTATTGCATTACACATTAGATTACTGAAGAAGTTTGAAGTGTATTTTCACTATTTTGTAAAGACAGTAAGACAAGAACTACAAAATGATTAATTATCAAAACACTCAGTTGTTATAAAATTTATGCATTAAAGCATTCATATAAAGACTTTTTTGATACAATAATATATTGCGTATTGCTTTCTAATATATCGTATTGCATCAAAATTTTTGGTTCAATACACACCTCTATCTTCTGATTGTGATGCAAATTAGTGGGAAAAAATTACATGTAGCCTGGTTCCCTGGCTAATCGTTGCCAAGTGCCTTGGAATACACAAGCATAACAGAGATAGGGAACCTGGCTAGGACAAAAATTACTTTCTGATCAGATTACATCAAACTTTTTCTAATGCTTGAGATACAAATGAATGAGGAGTAGCATTCAATTGTGACATCATCGACACTTCTGAGTTCTGATGATGTCCAAACCTAGCTTCTGCATTTCTCTAAAGAGAAATTCACCATACAAAAAATTTTCTGGTCCTCAGAATTGTTGGAGAATATATCACTCAGTCTAAAGATTTTGTTGACAAATAAATAAAAATCTCATCCTTTGGCCTCGGTTTTTATTTGCCATCTACTATTTGAAATTTAAACTATGTACAAAATATTAATCATAAAATTTGAATTTGTATTTTAAGAAACCATATCAACATCCATTCCTGAATCCATGACCACATGACATACATTTGGTTTCACTTTATAGTAAATATTATAGCTATCTAGTTACCTGAACATTTAGCAATGATAAATTGCAGTATACACAGCAATGATGGCAGAAATTTCTTCTTTTTCATTGTATATTCTAATTCCTGGTCAAAAGTCTGGATTTATGTAGAACCTAAGAATATACACAAAGCAATTCAATGAGTTTTATTTAATCTTAACAATTTTATTAAATAATAGTAACTTTGATGATTAATTACACCACCACCACCCTCCCCAACAAGTAAGAAATTCCATTTTCATTCAATGTATTTATCAATTATCATTGTCTTTGATTTAAAGCAAACATATTTAATATATTAATCAAGCTCTAGCATGAGAATCAAATACATGTATAGCAATGTAAGAATACACCAAATTATAGCAATGAAAATATTTTATAGCATTGTGACTATTTTCTTGTATTGCATATCATCAATGCAATATTATTATCAATATTTTGGACTTTCATGTGACGAACAAGATGAAGTTTCAATATTAACAGACAGACCCCCTCCCCTACAAATTCACTGTGGCAAAATTATTGTGGCTAATGTACTTTTAAAGGAAAATTTTTCTGTAAAATATTTGTGTTCATGTTCTTTGAATAAAATGCAGTCTTCATAGTGTAAACTCAAACAAATTACATATTGATTCTTTTCTTTTTAGTCAGTAAAAAATATACTTTCTTCTAATATATTTATATTTTATTTGGACAAATAAAATTTTCGGCAACATGACTCCATGGAAATGGAACCTGGGATAACATGATTTTAGGGCTTTCAAACCGAATACCACTGAGGCATTATCAAATGCTGCAACTGAGAGTACCAAACAATACACCCAAACAGGTTTCATAATATGCAAATACAATTGTCAGAAAATCTTATTTTTAAAGTTAAAATATTAATCTTCATCTTGACTCCACCCCTTTCTAAAAGTGTACAAGTGTATATGAACGTTTTTGATGGTAATCAGCAATAAATACACAACTGGTCTGCACTTGCTCCAGCGGTCACACTGATAAACATTTTATGAAAATGACAAGTAGATCAATATCTATATTGAGATTTTTTTAAAAAGAACAATGAACAATATATAAATACAAATTTGTGACATTCTCCTCATCAAATTAGGATTAAAAAAAATTGTTCCACACAACACCGTTCAATCATGTATGAGTTGATCATATCTTATTCTTAATCTTACAAGTCAAATCACATTTTATCCTAAGCGTACAAACATGTGCCTTAGGGAATAGTCCGAGTTTTAACCGCTGTCTACTTAGTCTTACTGCAACATTGATTACCTGTGAAATTAATTCTCTTAAAAGAAAGGGTGCCCTATTCGTCTTTAAAAGGTAATCTTACTTGAAAATGTGCAAATAAACAATACCATTTTTTTGCTGTAAAATGTGACATGTCTTCTTCCAGTCAGAATTCTCATACTACTGTTATGAGGTAACGGAACTCTTTTGTTTAGAACAGTGCTACTTATTCTGTATTTCATTCCCGATCTTATTTCAAACTGTTGTAATAATAAGTATATAAAATACTTTAACTTAAATATTGATGTTGGAATATTTCATGTTAAGATGAAATATGGTAGAATAATGTTTTATAGTGTATATACATCTTTTTTGATCACTGAATTTTAGAAAATGTTATTCAATCGGGAACGCCATTCTGTAAAATTTTAGCTGTTCCATTCTTCGCCCCCGCAGAGTGGAATCGGAAGTTTGGAAGGCTTCGGCCATTTTTGGGTTGACAATTTTAGTGAATTATCGAAAGGAACACAATCGCAGTTAATTTCTACAAGTTGCAAGGTAAAGTAAGCAACATAATGTTTTATTCGTCACATTGTGTTTAACTTGGTTTCACCGAATCCATATTCCTTCTGTGACGTTATTAATTTGAGTTTACGAAAAAAGAAAAGATATTTATGCATTTTTGTCTTCAAAATTATATGTGTAAAAGACTGGTATTTGCTTCATTTAAGTTATCGTTGAACGATGAGTAACACCTTTCGATACTGTATTTATCATTTATTAGCTTGGAAATGATATGGTCTTGTCCTATATTTATGCACAGTCATTACAAAGATTTGTACCGGGTGTACCCATTGTCAAACAAAGGTAAATCCTTTCTTTGTCAGTCACTGTAAACAACTTGCATAATATACTCTGAAGAGAGTTAATTTATTTAAGATCATCTAAGTAGAATTAAACATTGTAATACTCTACATGTATCTCCAGTATTGCCAGAACATGGAACTACCAAAGTGAGAAATTTTATCAGTAAGTCAGTAAAAATCAAATTTAAAGCAAATCACACTCCTTGAGCTCTGTAACATAGTGAGCAGGATGACAGAATGGCATAGTATGGTTTGATTCTAATCAATCAGTATTGACTTCACAGATTGAGATGAAATAGCAGATTTATCCTACATACCTTAGATTCTCACTCTATTCCACAACTTGATTTATATTTAACATAACTGACTTACTGATAAAATTTCTGACTTGTGTCAAAATGATAACTGTCATACCTAGACTGTTTAAGATTTATAAAAACAGGACATTGCTCAAAAATCCATTAAAATAATACAAATTGTGAGCAGAACCAAAACACACCTGAAAACAGGTAGGATCAGGTGCCATGGAGGAGTAAGCTCCCCTGTCATCCAGTGTGTCCCTTGTCATAGAGTTAAAAAACTTGGATCCAACATGTTCATGATGTTTGGGAGTTAAAATTCACTGTGTTCTGAATACTCAATTTTTTAGGCTTAGAAATGATGTTGTCTAAAATAATTGGTCCAAAATATTAAATAACTGTTACAAAATGTTATTTACATTATAATTTTTTTTTCACAGTCTTCATCTGAGGCAATGAAGGAGAGAAAAAAGATTTTTTTTAATAATGCTATAATGAAATCTTTTTAAAAAAAAAATTGTGTTTTTTTTAAATTGGATTGATTACAAAGAGGACTAATGGGGACGTGTGCAAAATTTTAATTGAATTCTTGTTAATCAGGGTTCGACACTAACGTTAGTCCGTTAGTCTCAGACTAATACATTTTCATTCGGACTAATAAAATATGTGGCTAATTAGTCCGAACGGACCAATAAAAATTTCTGAAAAACAATATGAATAAATTATCGATGTCCGATTCGTGACAACATTTAGTGGAAAATCCTGCATGTATTTTTAGATTTCTAGCTTTTGGCGGGTAGTTACGCAATGCCGGGTCAATTCAGCACTTAATTTTTCGACTGATCGATATGAAGTGTAAGGTTTTAGCAATCATGATTTAGTATGACACTTTTAAGAAAGATGTTGGACGTTTTGGATGGAATGTTAAGAAAAAAAAAAAAAAAAAAACGAGATCAGGAATACGATCGTACTAGCTGACTGCGAGATTTCAGTGAATCTGTGGAACAATATTTCACGTAAATACTTTGTTTATTTCAAAAAATAATACGTATATTAATTGTCACGTTAAATTAATGTTAAAAAACATTGATGTTTCTTTTTTTTATTTTTGATGGACTAATAAAATCGCGTGCGGACTAGTAAAAGTAATGAAGCACTAGTCCGGCTGGACTAAAGCCTTAAAAAGTTAGTGTCGAACCCTGTTAATTGGCTGTTATCATAAGTTATAGTCTGCATAGACTCACTAACTTTTTCCTGCTATTTGATTGTTATAAATACTGATATGAGGATTTAATTTTTAAAGTAGATGTTTTCTTTATCATGCATTTTATTCAACTGCAAATCAACAAACATTAATTGTGTCAAGTTAGTGATATGTTTTCCCCTCTTATCCCTTTAATGGCTTACAAATTGTGATGAGCTTGTAACCATTCATCTTAATGCCTGCAGCTGAAGTGTTAAACCTCTTTACTCTTCTAAGTGTTGTAGATATTTATGCAGCAGTTGACAAGTCCTTCAAACATCTAGGTTACCAAATATCAAGATTAAAATCATCAGATGATATTTAAAAATGTCAGCTTGTTTAGTACTCTCATTAAGCTAGGAATATCAAACAATAAGTCCAAACCGGTACATGGGCCCGTTTTACAAAAGAACTTACGACTAAGACCAAAAATTAATTCTGCTAATAACTTTTTAATTTACATTAAATAGAAAACGGTGTTAGTATTTTTGAAAGATGTGTAGAAAGATACTTTTACGCTAGCAATTTTAAACAGAATAATTAATTTTGCAAAATTTTACAATCAGCTGAAGTTTTTGATCTTAGTTGTAAGTTCTTTTGTAAAACAGGCCCATGTTTTTAATGCATACTTTTATTTCATGTGTATTCAGGTAAGCAATTTCTTCAAGACACTAGTAGAAGCATTAAAAAAAACTGGTGCAAAAATTAAACAAAAATCATTCTATGTTTTTTGTTGAATCTTAGCTGTATGGTTGGTTGTTTTTAATCATGCTAATTTTGATGAGTTTTATTGATGAGGATTAGTTATATAATTGTTTGTAATAAACTTTTGCTCATATCTTTATATATATATATCTGTTTTGTTGCATAGAAGTCTAGATAATTTTTTTTTTTATTTTTCATCCCCAGATCTTTGAACAAGGAAGTCAAGTAAAGATAAAATCTTATAATCGGTTCAGTGTTTCCATATTATAATCTGTCATCATGTCGAATATGCCACCATTGCGTCGCACTTTAAAAAATGTGGTTAAAAACTATTCAGAGGCACAAGTCAAAGTTCGGGAAGCCACATCTAATGATCCGTGGGGACCTTCTAGTACTTTAATGGGAGAAATTGCTGACTTGACCTATAATGTGGTGGCTTTCACAGAAATAATGCAAATGATCTGGAAGAGACTAAATGACCATGGTAAAAACTGGCGTCATGTGTACAAGTCCTTGGTAGTCTTAGACTACATTATAAAAACTGGAAGTGAAAAAGTGGCACAACAGTGTAAAGAAAACATCTATGCCATTCAGACTCTGAGGGATTTTCAACATCGAGAGGACAACAAAGATCAGGGAATGAATGTGAGAGAGAAAGCAAAACAATTGGTTGCATTGTTAAAGGATGATGAACGATTGCGCAATGAAAGAGCGAAAGCATTGAAAGCCAAAGAAAGATTTGCACAGAATGCGATGGGAATAGGAAGCAATGACAAGGTAACTGTTCACATGAGAGATGTGTTCCTTGTTTCTGAGCTAGTCAGCACTGCATGTTCATTTGTCATAAGGGGGAAAAATGGAATAATTACTGTTATCACATGTTTAAATCTCAGAGTATTGTGTCAAATTCATGTTTCATGTTAAGAATACCTTGTAATTATTTCTTCATAGTAAAATTATTACCAAATGAAACATAATTAGATGTATTGAAAAAATCTTCTTTTTTTTTTGCTCATCTGAGCCTGAGGCACAAGTGAGCTTTTTTGACCACTGTGTAGCATATGTCTGTCTGTAGAACACCTTCATGTAGTGAAGAAATGATAATGGGGCATAGATGGGGCCTATAACGGGGTCAAAGTTTTACATGGAAATATACAGATTTTTTTTTTGAAAAAAGATCTTCTTATAAGAGCAAGGCCACAATTTATCACACAAGTATGCAAGCATCATGAAGTGTATATTCAAGTTAGTTCATGGCTCTGGGAACTAGCTTAGAAGCCACAACTGAGGGAACAACATTTTACACAGAAATATATATGTCCACAAGAATATAAAGACTGTAAAACTAGCATCAAGGCTTAAAATACTGTAAAATAAACTATATTGAAATCATGGACTTAATTTGAAGTCAACAGTAAGAGGCTTATTTAAGCTACATGTACATATTAATTTGTCTGAAAGGGATGAATAACTCATGTGAGCATTGTAGCACATGGGCCTCTTGCTCTAAGAGAGAATTATTGGAAATAGTAGTCTTGCATACATTACCTGTTGTTTGCTGTAGGTTCGTTATGGAGCTGGCAGCCCCAGTTTGCAGACTAGCTCTGGAGGGTACTCCGATCCATATGGTGGTGCTGGAACTACAACTAATGGTTTGTCCTAATAAAACACACACCAGTCCATAAATCAAAAACAAAAAATTATTTCTTTCCAACATCACATATTGAATCAGAATTCATCAGAAATTTCTGGTTATAAACAATTCAATATTGTAGAAAAGTTGATACAAAGTGTCAGTAATTGATATTCATGCATGGACTAAAGAGCAAAATAACACATAGTAAAAAATAATTTTGTATGAATAAAAATTGAATATACAAGCTTCTTTTTCTTAATTCTTCTGAACTTTCTTAAAATGACAGGTGATTCACCAACAAGAGTGCGTAGACATTCAAAAGATGTAGAGTATGCTCGACCATCATCAGTTGGTGAGGAGGAAATTCAGCTGCAGTTGGCTTTGGCCATGAGCAAAGAAGAACACGAAGAATCAGTGAAGAAACAGAAATCAGATGACATCAAGCTTCAGCTGGCTATTGAAGAAAGCAGGAAACAGGCTGAAGATGAGGTAGGTTAACAAAAGACATACAGAAAATATCTTAAAATGGTGAGAAGAGTAAAACCCCTGCTTTTAGTTTCTCGTCATTAAAACTCAGTAAGATTGGCATAAATTTATGGAATTTTACATAAATTTTTCAGTTCTTAAAAATTTTATAATTTGAGTTTTTCCATCTTTTCCTTTTGATCACATTGATCTTATGTTCTTGGTCCATTTAATTTTGTGTAATAGGAGAGAAGAAAAGTTGCAGTAAGATTATTTTCAGTTAAAAGATTGTTTTACATGTAGTTACGTGGCCTATACGCAGTATTGTACACCCCTTTGTTTTGCGTAGTACTGACACGACCTTAGCTTATCACACTTTGCTTATCCTTTCCTCCTGTTTTCTTTTCTAACCTTTTAAACTATGCATAGATTTATAACAGCAATGGTTCCTTCTCTGTCAGCCATTTATTCAGTGATTGATAAATCCTTTGTGTGTATTTCTGATGCACGTTAATATGATTAATTTGTATGATGCATCATTAATATTAAAGAAATGCTGTTTGATTGAGGTAAGTTTGCAGACTTGAATTTTCAATGGAATTTTTTTTTTATGATTGATCACTGTTCTGAGAACTTTCTGCAGTATTATCAGACTTGGCAGGTCATTGATTTGGGGGAAGGTCTGACATAGGCACTTGTTTCTGGTGAAATATAACTTATACCTTATCATAATTATGTTATCATAAAAGTACTAAAGGATTTTTTAAACCCCAAATACTGGGTGAATTTGGGGCCAAATCTAAATTCTCTGTTACAGTAAGATAAACTTCCAAATAAATAATAGTAGAGATTGATCTATCTTTTTATAGGAGATTTTCAAGGATAGATGTATTTGTCAGATCAAGAAGCCTTTCATATTCATAGCAGACTGACCCCCTCCTCTCACAAAAAAAAAAAGAAAAAAAAAAAAGAAGAGAAACAAGGCATTGCATTGTAAAACAGGGATTTGATACAAAATCCTCTATGTTACTTTTACCGTCACTTCAGTTAGAGTGTTAGTTGTAAAGCATTTTGGCAAAACCTTATTTTCAAATTTTCTTTAGGGAAAAAAAATCTGCAGAGTTGAGTTGTTCTTGTTGTTTATTTGTCTAAATGTCTTTATTGTATTTTTTGAATAATGCTTTTGAGCATTGTGAATTAAAAACTTTGTTGCTTTATACTTTAACTTTTTAGACAAGATGGTATATTAACAAATCCTTTGATATTATTGGTCTCTTAACATGCAAAACAATACATTGATTGTTGAATTTTTTTTTCTTTTTCATTATTTTTCTGTACATTGAATTAAATGTCTGTCTGTCTTTAGATATGTGTCTAATTATCTTGCAAATACATATAATTTATATGATAAAAAAGGAAATACTAGTTATGTATTGTATGCTACAGTGAGTTATGATAACCCTGTTATGTGATAGTTAATAATTTCTACTGAAAAAATTTTCTATGCTGCATATCAATTTCTTTCTCTTTTTTTTTTGGGGGGGGGGGGGGAGCTAAAGGGATCCCAGGTGTAAAGCATATCATGCATTTCTTCAGTTATTGTGATTCATATATCAATAATTTGGCTCTAAGCCCAAGCTAAATTTATCATGAATAATCTGAATTTAGTAAAATGGTACATGTAATCATTTCTGTGAAGCCAAATACATGTTCATATTATAACAAAGAATTAGTAACTGTGTGTAGATTGGACCCTGATCAAAGATTCATACATTTTTTTCTGAAGTCCTGATGACAGAGAAAATTCTAGCATAATTTCCATAAATTTTTCTAAAAGTTCAGCTCAAATATAGGTAGGAAATCCAAAAAAGTTGACAATGATTACCACTGACTTGTTAGGATTTTGAGGAAATCTTGCAATCAATGTCTAATCTAGTACATGGAATCATTTACAAAGCATTTGTTTGTTATCTCTAGCACTTGTACAAAACCACACATGATTATAGACAAATAACAAAATTAGAAAGACTAAGCCACATATGTTCATCAAATTTATATTTGCAAAAAATTGTGGTATGTTACAAAATTACAGCATGACATCTAAAAAAAATGTATAATGTACTTGAAAGTGTTTGATGCCGTAGTTTGCATTGGTGTACTTGAAAGAGGTTTTAAAAAAGAAATTGATTAATCTTCAAGTAACTTAATAAAAGTGGACTTATTTAATATTTGAAAACTTCATTGGGTGATAAAATTTTTAATGTCAGTTAAATTTTTGAGATTTTGCAGTGTAACTCGTTCTACTAATATTTTATATTTTATTTATAAATTCATACTGTTATAAGTTATTTTACCATGAGATATCTTATATAAAAAAAATGAATTGAAATTTGTTTAATTACAGCAGAAAGCTCCATCAGGGGGATTATTAGACTTGGATTCACCTAGATCCAAGCCATCAGACCCATGGGGAGCCCCAGTAACACAGCCAACTGCAGCTCCTACAGATCCATGGGGTGCTCCTCTCCCAGCACCACCTGGACAGAAGCACCATCCCCCAGCTCCTGCTCCTGCTCCCGCAGTGTCTCCCGCTTCTGCAGATCCATGGGGATCACCAGCTAAACCAGTCACCTCCACTCAGAGTGATCCATGGGGAATGCCAATGCCTTCCAATCCAAGTCCCCCTCAGACAAACCCAGGTATTTTCTGTGGAAAATATCAGTCATGGATTTTGAGTTTGTAATGATACACTAGTACATTGTACCTTACAGATTTTCAACATATTTAGATAAATATTATAATACTTATATTACAGTACAATTCTTTTTTTTTCTTTCTTTTTTTTTTTTTTGTAGTAAAATATCAACAGAATACACTGAATACAGAATATAGATTTTTTAATTTTTTTGTGTACATGTACCTGTACTTAGCTGTTTTTTTTACATGTTGAATATTGCATTATTTCTGAATACTTCCTTAGCATAGTCACGCATATTTAATATGTACAGAGAAGAGATTAGGAAGTAAATTATTAATAAATAGAAGTTTAAATAATTTATAAAACTTACCTACCTTCTTAAAGCTCCAGCAGCTATGGATCCTTGGGGTGCCCCAGTTCCCTCATCAGGGACCTCAGGCAGTTCCCCCTGGGGAGGGTCACCTGTCCCTGCTCAGCAGTCCCCCTTTGGTGGATTTGATTCAGGGGCTAGTTCTATGACAAATGGTGGCAGTAAAGATCCTGTAGAGGATGACTTTGATCTGTTAAGTTCCCGCAGCCATGCAGAATCTCCAGCCAAAGCTCCAGTCACAGACAGTTTTGATTTGCTTGGAAGTAAGTTGTCATTTAAAACCATTTAACTTATCGAGGAATATATATGTACATGTAGAAGGTATTTACACTTTACCAAGTCAAGTTGCTATGCAGTATCCATGGGTTTTTCTTCATAGTAAAAGATATATTACTTTGATAAAATGCAATGTTTGTGCTCTGTATCCAACCACAAGATGTGCAAAATAAGGTAGCAGTCATTTGTTTTTCACACATTTTAATCATAATGAAAATTTTAATAATACCCTAAGTACACTGTGTTTTCATTTTGTAATACAAAAGTGGTTTTATAATATGTAGGACATAAAGCCTGATATTTGATAGTAAATTTATTTTATAGACACCAGTTCTGCAGATCCCTGGAGCATGGATAGTATGGAACAAAGTCTACCAGCTAAACAACAGCAACAACAAAAACACAGAAAAACACCACAGGATTTCTTAGGAGAAAATGCTAACTTAGTGAACTTAGATCAACTTGTTACAAAAGATGAATCAGCAGGTATTTGAGACACATGAATTTATTTGAGTACATTAGAATTGTAAGAATTCTTCATATTGTGCATAGACTTTTTAAACAACATTCTGTTTTCATATTTAAGGGATTTAAGCTTAGAAAATGTGATACATTTTATTTCAAGCACATTTCCTGAATATTTTTATGTTAAATACATGCACATTAAAGAAAAGTGTCCTGAACTTTTATTTTTATATTTAAGGCTGACAAATTATTTAAATTAATATTCTAACTAAAAGTGAGAGCTTTCTTTGTAAGAGTAGATTCAAATTTGTTCAACTCTGGCCCCTGGGGGGTAGTGAGAGGACACAATAGGGGATCAAAGTTTACATGGGGATATATAGGGAAAAAAATCTTTAAATATCTGCTTCTCCAAAACAGCACTGCCATAATTAATCATCCTAACATGCAAGCATTTTCCAGTAGCGTTGATTCAAGATAGTTTTTTTTTTTATCATGGCCCTAGGAGAAGTGAGGGGCCACAATAGTGGATCACAGTTTTAAATGCAATTATATAGGGAAAAATCTATAAAAAATTTTTTCTCAAGAACAGCAGGACCATGACTAATCATATTACATATTTGTGGAGAGGGCTTATATAGGCTATGCCTGCTGCCCAATCCATTTATGTTTCTACATAAAATATGTTCAGATAAAAAAAAAAATCATATTACATGTAATTTGTAATCATCAACAGGTAAAGTGATATTGATTGTTTAAGCATGTTTTCTCACTTTAAGGTTCATTGACCCTCTGGTAAGAGAGATAACTGTTACTGGGATAAATGGCTATTATTCCTTTATAAATTTGTCAAGTTAAAAAGTCATTTCTCACATTTTACCCTGCAAGACTACTGAAATTATGTTCATCTTAATTTTAAAATTCAGATTTTTTTTAGAAAATCAGTAGCATTAGAACAAAATGTTATTGAATGAACAGAGGAATAATTAACTGTACATGTAATTTCCATAACCAGGATTTAGTGCTTAATCAACTTTATCTTAAGATGTCTAATTCCCAGTTTCTGGGAAGATATAAACTTTATCATCATAAATCATTTAAATATTACAGATAAAAATCCATTTGCCAGTGGAGGATCAAATCCTTTTGAACTTCAACAACAACAGAATCCTCAAAGAATGACATTAAATCAGCTGCAATCTTCAGCCTACAACACAGGCTTCAGCCAACCCAGTTCCAGTGGACTTTTACCCCAACCCCTGCTCCCCATGGCTGGAATGTCACAGCAACCTCAACAAGGATACAACCCATTCTTATGAGAAAAGAAGGCAACTAATTATAGGACCAGATTGTATCTTGTCATGGGCTTGTCAGTAGACAGTGGCCAAATTGATCAACGTATACTTATGCTGATGTTTTTCACATTTACAACAGAGAGGGATTTTACAAGTTTTTATTTGATCGTTGATCAAAGGAATTTTAACGTGTTGTCAGACTCAAGAATTTTGGTTAAAAACTGTGCGGAATTTATATAACTTGTATGTTTTTACTGAAATCATTATTTCATAGTGAATAAGGAAAGAAAGAGGACATTTTTCTATAGAGATATATACATATTTGTTCATAGAAAAAAGAAAGAGAATGAAATTGTTCAATTTTGTACTCTTCATTATATTAACACATCCCTGTCATGTAATCATACAGTGTATATCCTATCATTGAGTAAGAAGTGGTGTAGGGCTTAATCTTGAAAAGTCATTGTTAAAATACGATCAAAATTAATATTTCAAACATTAATTAGCAGATCTGCTGGTGATGTAATGATCAATGATGATCAGTCGAAGGAAGAATATTAATTGAAAAAAAGGATTTTATTTTCTTACTCTGTTTACTATTATTTTGAAAATCGGTAATTACTCATGTGATAAAGAAATGTATTTCAGGTATGTGTCATAAATTTATATTTTTCATTATGACATTTTCAGTGGGTAAATTGAGATAGTTTCAATGCACATTAACTCAGCAATATACACCCTTGTACTTCTATCCTGGTCAATCTAATTAATTATCATTGGATAGTATACACTACATGTATTTTGTCATGAATACTGGATCCCCCATTACATAGATGATTAAGTAAATATGATCATTTTATGTGTGTACACATTCATCTATGTTGTTTTTCATCTTTGTCTGTATTTATTTTTTAAAGAAATTTATTATAATTTTTTTTTTACTGGACAACAGATGACAACCTCATAAAGATCTGAATTGTTTGTGCTTTGGTGCCCCGACCTTTGCTCAGAGTAAAGATATCTAGTCTGAAGACTTACAAAACAGCAATATGGTATATACAAGTCAGACATGAGACAAATGAGATGTAAGAGGAAGTGATGTTTAGTTTTAATTAATGGGGCTTCATTGCTGACTTACATTGTTTTAAGTACATGTATTAGTAAATTAAAGATCTGTTCATTTTACTGTAGTATTGTGATAACTGTTATATTTTTGTAGAAAAAAATGAAAAAAAAAAAAACAATTCTAAAAAATATTAAAATTCATTTAAACAGCAATTTTACTATGTACTTTTTAGCTTGTAAACTTTCTAATGAAAGTTATTACTAAATTTGTTTTCAAAAGGGCATCCTCAACATTTGAAAACAAGTTAAAAAACCCAATAAAAGTCAGTGTACAGTTTTTAAAGCATACAATATGTGTCATTCCTGTATTGAGCTCTTGGTAAAATAAGCATCTGTATTGTTTACAACAAATTATGTTTGCCTAGTACCTACTGTGATAAAATATTCATGTACAGATAAATATTAATAAAAGAAACTGCTTTGAAAAATTAAGATAAATTTGTTGCTGTTGATGTCTTTTTTGTATGAGCTAATTCCAATTCTTATGAATATGTGTTGGATCGAACAAATGTTAAGTAGATTGTGACCAAATTGCAGTTTTTTTTGTTTTTTTTTTAAATTCTGATCCTGTAAAGTGGCAGGTGGTATTGAAAAACGTTGCTGATTTTAATTGGTCATATTTAGCTCACCTGAGTTGAAATTTCAAGTGAGATTTATTTTTATCAAAAGTCTGTCTGGCATCTGTTTTCACTAACTTCTCATTGAGAACCTAGAGGCCAATCAACCAAACTCACCACAAAATATCCTTGAGAGGTGGGAATTCATGTTTCTTCAAATAGTGATATTAGGATGAGGTCAAGAGCCTTTGACCTATAAAAGACAAAACTTGAGTGAAAGCTTTCCTCTTGATTCAGTTGGTTCAAATCATGCCTCCTGTACAAAGCTAGAAAGTAGACACAATCCGGGGTCTCAGTTTCACCTTGAAATACATAAACTCTCATATAGAGAAAAATCTGAAAAAGAACAGTATCTACAGTTATAATTATATGCAAATATTTTGGAATAAGTGTTACATGTATAATATATTTGTATAAAGTATGGATTAGGTCACAAATATTTCCTTAAAAGATAACTTATGAGAAAAATGTTGAAAAGGCCCGAGGGTCTATAATCTGGGGGGGGGGGGGGGGGTTTCTGTCCTCGAGTACATGTGCAAAATGTATCAATTTACTTATGCCAGTATTGAAAAATCAGTAGTCTGTTAGAGGAATAATAAAAACAACTAAATATGTATTTAAAAATCATTTCCACTCTAATACTTGTAGAATAATCATAATAGGCTGCCTTTCGGGTATATTCTTTTTTATCGTAGACATTCGCCCTAGTACATATGACCTTGTAACAATCATATACAAATACTTAATTTATACAGTTTTATTTTTTATTTTGAATTTTTTTAAGAAAGCAAATTTAAAATTAAACATCTTATAAATTAAAATAATAATTAATGAAATGTAATCTAAAGTTCTAGGTATAATTGGAAAAATAATCCAGTATCTTGACACTTTGTTAAGCAGAACGTGTGCTTGGCAAAAGTCCACCAGTATTCGCAAAAACGCAAAGTCTTGGCAAAAACTGATATTATCAATACCCAGTAAGTTGTGTGTACGAGCCTATTCAATAACACAAAACTGACGAATAAACGCGATTTTTATTTTTATCAACCTATGAAAATGAGGTCAATTAGCTTTCGAAATGTTGAATAGAGAAATAAGCAGGTACTCTAACGCACTAAGTGGATGGCCGTAGGAACAGGGGGAGCCCCCCCCCCCCCCCATAATTTTGCCGATATATACCAGTGGCGTACCTACCATGTATGCTTGTATGCTCAAGCATGCACATTATTTTGCCGAAAATAAATAAATAAGTAAATTTTTTTTTAATTAAAAGTATTGAGAAGGATGAAGGTAATGAATGTGTGAATTTATATTTTAAAAAGTATATTACGTTTGATCTGGAACTGTTTATGTCCATACTTGAAAAAGCATATAGTTTCTCATAGTACATATAAAAATTAAAAAATTGGCAGTACATGGTAAGTTACCTCCTTCCTAGTCACGTAGATTTCTTATCATTGACATATATGTAGTTTATGTGCGATATATACTTATTATATCCATGCAGTGTTATTCTTATTAGTGCATTTATTTTATATCATTTTTTCTCAAATTATTCCGCGCTCGCTCCGTGGTCAGATGGTCGTGTGTTCGAATCATGGCCGCGACTGACCCAAGTCGATAAAAAAAAAATAGGTAGCAACTGTTCCTTCGCCAAGCGCTCGGCACTTTGAAGTGAAAGTTTCGGGCCCTTCGGATGAGGCCTAAAAACCGAGGCCCCATGTCACGAAAGGCGTTGGTACGATAAAAAACCCTCACTGCTCAATGGCCCTGTAAAGGTCTAAATCTGAAGCCCTTCACCGGTATATAGTGACGTCTCTATATGAGTGAAACATTCTCAAACGGGAATGAAAACAACATAATTATGTACAATCAATCAATCAAATAATTAATCAGTAAAACAGGGTGTCCAAATATATATTTTCTTCGATTTCTTTGATGATTTTATGAGTGTTTATATCGTCAGAATCCAGGAGCTCCCGGGGGCTTCGCCCCCTGCACCCCCAATGGACTCAATGGGGGCCGCAGGGCGGCCCCAGACCCCCTGCCATTTTAATTGAGCATGCACTTCGTTTTGTGCCTAGCTACGCCACTGCATACATTACTATATAGAAAACATAGCTACTATATGTTTATGTCCCCTCAATAAAAACGTCTGGTTACCTTTTTTTGGCTTGTCAAGGAATTTTTGGTAATTGATAGTGTTCCCAACTGAAAATGTATGGCTGTGCCCCCCCCCCCCTTCCCCCAACTAAAATTGCTTCTTACGGGCCTGAAGGGTACTCTGTACTACTTGATCCAGGATGTTGCATTTAGTGGGATAAGCTCCTATAATTATTAACAACCAAGAAACCGAGGAGGAGTTTCCAGAACCAAAATTTATTATCGTTGATTAACAAACTCTCTCTCTCTCTCTCTCTCCCTACGCGCGGGGTGGCATATATAGCCTATGGCAAGAAATTAATTAGTACTGCATTTATAAGTGATACTTAAGATATTTAGAGAATCAACTCATTTATGAGCTAAGGCTACGTACAACTGCAATTTCAGAGGAAATGATAAAATTTTATTTAAAGCTGGCGGATCTTAAAAATTCTATTTCAGAGCAGGATAGTTCTAATTCATGGACAAAGAGAGACAACTCCTACTTTCTCTGTTTGTCACATGGGCATTTTTGAAACCTTTGAACTCGTGTGAACTTTGTCCTAGTCTTGTTTTGATGTTCGTTGATTGTATCACATGGGTTAGTAGCTTGTACTGCATACGGAATCAGTGCCTAAAAGTAAAAAGTGGAATATTTACATTATGAATATACTGTCTCATATCATTGTCTAGGGTCTTAGCTTTTTTAATTTTAGTGTTTGTTTTGATTTGTAGGCCTGTGTCGACGTCGTCCCTTGGACTACAGATAGATAAAAAAAAAAATTACTCTTTAGGAAAGGAATTGATCTCCACTGAGGTAAAAATCTAAGTGCTAGTTATGAAATACTGCTTATTTGGGAATAGTAACTTATGTTGGTGTGTTATAATACCATACTGCATGCAATTCTCAGTACTTTTAACAGATATTGAGGCACGCAAACACTTGGCACACTTTTGGATAACCTTTCAGCACAATGCATTTAGCAGTTACATTGCTTTAAAGGAATTCATTAATTTGATTTAAATAAAGATACAGTATTCAGGTGCATTTTAAATGGCCACTGGTTGAATTTTTATAATGTGCAAATGAGAGGTCAAATACAAAAAAGTGGTCAACAATATTCATTCACTAATAGACCTCAGTTGATGTGTAGTTCAGACCATGCACTCTTCTGTTTATTAATAACTACTCGTCTGCTGACATACTCAAGCCTTTTAAAATCTGTTGGTACCCACTGCTTTTGCCCGGCTGAAATAATGATTGTACCAGTCAAACTGTTCGGTGGAGAAAAATATGAAAACATTTTAAAATTAAAATCGCTTTCACAAGGTAACGTTACCTCCTATTTTTATAAAAGTACCACCTGTTTCTAATCTTGATTGACATTAATCAATAATCAGGGTTGAAACTTGTACATGCAGTGTTCAGTAAATTTAATAAAGAAACATTCTTTAAAATGCATGTAAGGCCAACAATAAAAAATGATGTGTTTAATGTACTCCAACCATTTTTATATACTCATCAAAATTGTCTCTATCCAAATGCCCAATAATATTCTTTTCAGCAATTTAGTAGTATTCTTTAATTCTTTTTTCCCCCTTGAATATACAGATTATCCGTATTGTAATTTGATACGCGGTAAATTAATTTGAAACTGTTCACATTAAATTTTCGATGTGAACACAGTTCAAATTTAATTTGCAGTAACTTACATTTAATTCGAATTAAACTCTCTCTGTGAACAGGGTATTAAGGTCAATCAATTTTCTAAGATACTTTTTTAGATTAAAAGATTTTACAGCAACTAGGAATTTAATATGTTTAGCCATCAGGTCTATTAATGAAATTTCTAATTTTTTTGACAATCATCAAAGTATAAGATAAGAAAATCATATTTTAAAAAACCTACCTACCTACCCATCTTGAGAAATGTGGGTTGGAGTAAACAAAGAAAATTTTATGAATGCCCAATTTTACTCTCAAAATAGCTTATATAATTCACAAGTTCAACAAGCATGCATATATACAAGACGGAAATCGGCCCCTATTTACCATACATATATAGGTCAATGCTATGCCCAAATAGCTTCTATACTCTTAAACACTCAATACTTGGACCACATATATGGTACACCCTTTTCAGCTATCCAGCAAGCAGTAAGTTTAAAGCATTCCCATTGTTATGTAATTCTTGCTGCACTGGACCATAAAATGATTGTGCATCAAGGTCAATACATGCTTACTTTTGTAGTGAAGAACTGCATTTAAGTAAAACATTGATTTATGTAATTGATATAGGAATATCATGCAACAGCCACATGAATTTTTGCAACTAAATTTTCTACCTGCGTGACATAGCAATCTATGAATACCTGTGAAACATCATTTCCTTTTTGATGTTAATGTAAGATTTTGAAGAAATTCATGTTCTGTTGTCATTTTAGACTGATATCCATTTGTATGCAGAATTAAAGCTAGCTAGGACAATCAGATGAAAAAAAGAATGTCATCTTTGCTGAGTGATGGTAGTGCCCTCAGTATCGGGGCTGGTGTGGTCACAGCGGTTACAGCCGCCGCGGCTACCTACTATCTGTCCACTCGACCAGAACCAAACATTGTCCCACCAATTGACCTTGATGACCAGGCAGTAGTGTTAGAGGCTTGTATTTTTTACACTACATAGTTTCTGTATGATGCTGATACATCATCCATTAAATTTTCTCAGTTAAAAAAATAAAATTAGAAAAACATTAAAAAAAAAACAACATTTCATAAATTATTAAAAACTCAGAAGGTTCAACTTATTAATTCATCGTTTATTTTAGGATGGAACAAGGATGTCTAGATTTAATGAAAATGGGGAATTAATGAAGTACCTATATGAAGATGTGAAAACTACATATGATGCTTTTCAAAGAGGTTTAAGATTATCAGGTAATATAAAAGTGAATAAATAGAAATTATAAATTTAACCTAATAGAACCCACATATACCAATAATTAGCCTCTCATCTCTCTCACTTGCATTTCTTTCTCAGGAAAGAATGAATGCCCCTTCTCACACATCTCCTGACTTAAACTAAGGATAAAGGCCATATCAAATTATCATATATATAGAATGCCATTTGTATATGTTTTATAGAAATTCTCCATTTTGTTTTCTTGTGTAGGAGATGGGCCATGTTTAGGCACAAGAACAGGACCAAATTTGGAGTATGTTTGGATAACTTATAAGGAGGTCAGTAGAAATATACTGTTGATTATACTGTTGTTCCAATATTGATTATAATCTAAAATTAGTCAATTGTTGGTGCATTCTAAGCACTTGATTATGAAAATTTCATTTCAATTTCTCTCAGCAAAGCCATGAGTAGTCATATTTATATGGAAGAATCTTCAGATTCATATTGTTCAAATCATAACTCCAGGTGAGTAGGGTGAGGCCACAGTGGGAGATCAAAATTTACATATTAGTGAAGATTCAACTTGTTCTAATAATGGAACAAGATTCTTAGGGATAGTATGGGTCCACAATGTGTGATCAAAGTTTTATTTAGGAATATATATATATGTAAAATCTTTCAAAAATTTTCTTCTCAAGAACAGCAAAGCCATGATCAGTCATATAGCTATGGAAGCATCTTCAAGTAGGTAAGATTCAAGTTAGTTCAAATCAAGGCCACTGTGGCCACATTATTTGATCAAGTTTTACATGGGAATATTTAAGGAAAAATCTGCTGATGGAGAACAGCAGAGCCATAGTGAGTAAGGTTAGCATTGTGGCCCATGGGTCTCGATAGTTTTATTTCTCCATGATTTTGTTGAAAAAGTACAATTTCTTTAGAAGAGGGAATTGTTTTTCAGGTCTTCGCAAAATCTCGAGCATTTGGTTCTGCATTATTGGCTCGTGGTTTAAAACCAAATGATTCATCATTAATTGGAATCTACAGTGTTAACAGGCCAGAGGTAAAAGAAATATGAATGCTACTTTTACCAAATTTAGAATGTTAATGTAACCACAGTTTCTACCAATGATCAGAGAAGAATTCAATATCCAAGTGGATTCTTATTTATCATAGTACAGAGTTTAATTGTCTATAAAGCTTGCATAATAACTAAGGTTAAGGAAATGATATCCTAGCTATTCTTTTCCTATAGTGGGTGTTCACAGAGCAGGCATGTAGCATGTTTTCCATGGTATCTGTGCCTCTGTATGATTCTCTCGGACCTGATGCATGCAAATACATCATCAAGCAAGGTAACTCTAATACTGCCGAATAAAGTACTCTACCAGTTATCCTTTTCTCAAACTTTAAGCATGAGTTTTTTTTCATATCCAATCTGAATCATTTTGTAGGTACTGGTATGTAGATATGGTATACATCATACTACATGTAGATTTTTTTTTGTTCCTGACTGAAAATGGGGAAATTTTCATCAATGTTCTCTAATTGCCTTCATTGTGACTAATGTTATGATTAATATACTTGTTCATTTTTTTTTTTATAAACATATATAACTATTAAGTAGGCACTAATTTGTATTTTCAAATGAGGCAAAAATATTAATTGTAACCATAAGTGAAAATAACACTGGTTAAAAAAAATTCCAGCATGCAGAAAACGATTAACTTTTGATAATTTTGACCAACTGAATTACCCGGTCTTAAAAATGATTATACATTGTAGTTCATTTTGATATATTTACAGTACACATGTATTTTGCTTAAAATGTGAGGAAAGCTACAGCATTCAAAACACAATAACACAGACAGGGGGTCAGAAGGTTAAATTAACTGTATGCATTTTATTTTGATGTCACAAATGATGAAAGCCATGAAATTGCAACCAACTTCATAAGGGAAAATAAAAATACATGCTCACATTGTACATAAGCTGTCGCAGTGGCTCTTCAATTAATTGCAACTTACAGTACCCATACTGATAATACAGGGATTTTGAAATATAAATCACATTTGCAATCAAGGCAAGGAGTCAAAAAATGTAAATTATAAGCAATGAATCATAATTTTTGAAAGATATAGCCTCCTAACTGCAATGTTGTGTGCAATCAAATTTTCATAATGCGCTTATGCGTTATGAGACTATATCTTTCAAAAAATGATTCATTACTTAATAAGTATAGTCTTGGAGCTTTGTTTGGCAAACAGTTCATTTTGAAAATTATTCTTAGAGCACTGTTTGGTAAACATGTTTTATTGTTCAGTAATGCATGTAATGTCCATATTAACATATACACAATTATCTGCAGTTAACATAATACATATCTTAGAATACTGAGCATGTCTAGAATTATCTTAAACTTATTTACAATGTACATTTCAAAAATTCAATTCCCAAGGTGGTAAATATTTTTCCTTGTTCCTTGTAGGTGATATTGCTTATGTTGTTTGTGACACTGCACAGAAGACCAAAAACTTGTTGGCCAAAGCAGACCAGTGCCCCTCCCTGAAATGCATAATCATGATGGAGTCACCCTCAGAGGAACTCAAGTCTGAGGCAGCCAAGCATAAAATTGAACTCACTCAGTACAAGGACTTCTTGGTTAGAAAAATTCAATTAAAATATTCCTACTTTATTTTTTTTCATTGTTTTATTAGGGAGGTCAATTTCACTAGGATAGTCTAGTCAAATAATCGGGGGCATTAGTCAAGCAATAGTGGAGTGACTGGAATCCTCATAATAATAATTTTTCTCATGTTAGTTTTACTTTGTGTCCTTTTCAGACTGCTTGTACACTCAAACTTTATATCAAGCTACCATCATATACAAAGTATATTTATTTTACTACATGGTTCTCAATATTATTTTTTAGCATAGATGCATTTTACATGTATCAACTTGTAAATACAATTTATCAAAAACTAATACGATATGTATAGGGGCAAGTAAGAATTAAATATAAATATTAGCTAATTCAAATTTACAGTAAAAATGCTATTTTTTCCATGTATTTCAACAGAAAAGGGTAAAAGAAGATCCACAAACTATACTATATTTACAGCAATATTGCAATAAAACAATATGCAAATTGGATCAAAAAATTCAGATGATATCATAAATTATAATCAACATTATGTTCAGTATATCTATATGTTTTCTTGTGAGATTTTTTTTTACAAGGTAAAACCACAAGCTACCTGAAGCAGATCAAATTAATGATGCAGATTTTTTAAAATTGATTTTTTAGTATTACCTGCAGGGAGTGGCAATGCAAGAGAACATATCTCTTTTAGTGTACAAAGCGATTGAATAGGCAAAACTATGGTATATATTTGATATATTTATACTTGAAATTAAGGAGTTATCAAAATCTGAATATTTATAATGTTTTACAGGAACTTGGTGAGAAAAATCTTCAAGAACCAAAGGTAAGATTATTAAATGGAAAATATCGCAAAATTACCGTACATATAGTAAACAAAAGAAATGTCCAACATCTTGCTTTAAGTGCCTGAATAAACTAGCACCAATTCCATTCTTATCTTATTGAAATATATGTTCACACTATTTTTATGCAAAAAAAAAAAAAAAAATTAAATTCCTCAAAGTTATGGTTAAACAATTTTACTAAACTTACCATGAAAATGTATTATCTTCAGCATTTACATGTACATGTACTTTCATTTGTGAAATGATTGATGTACAGTTGAACTTTGGTATCTCGAACACAGATATCTCGAATACCATGGATATGTCGAAGTCATTTTGAAGTCCCAACTGCTTATTCCCTAAGTATTTTTCCCTGGATATCTCGAATCCTTGGTTATCTCAAAGTATTTTCTCGGCCCCTTCAAGTTCGAGATAACGAGGTTTGACGGTATTATAATTTGTTAGAAAAAAATGAATTTTATACAAAGAAAAAATAATTGGTTTGTTTTATAGCCTCCAAAAGGATCAGATATGGCTACAATTTGTTACACTAGTGGAACAACAGGTATGTACAGTAAACTGCATGTACAATGTATATCCAACAAGCTAATTCTGTACTTTACAAAGTTGTACTTCTGATGCATATCAAAGGAAAATTATAACCTAGAAAAAAATATTTTTGAATTTTAATGAGGAATTGTAAATGAAAACACTCATGACATATGTAAATAGGAACTGAATTAATTACAGGTGATCCCAAAGGTGTGATGTTGACCCATGCCAATCTCATATGTAACATGTCAGCTGTTGCTTTTATGGCTTTGGTAAGTGCATATTGGATCAAATAGGGAATAACATCTAAGTTTGATTTGCAGTTAGAGCCCTAATTCTTATTTGACAGTAATCTACAGCTGTAACTGAAAATCTTTATCTTGCCTTTTGAACCACAATTACATGCATCTCATATTTCCAATATTTTTCAGAAAGCTGTTTCAATAGACAACAATGATGTTCATATTTCATATCTTCCCCTTGCCCATATGTTTGAAAGAGGAATGGAGGCATGTATTAATTCTACATTAATGTGGTTCCAAAGAGTACAAACTTAATTGTTAAAAGGGATTAATTTTACATTTAAAGGGTACATGTTACATTGTTTGAATTCCTTCTGTTGTTGTCTAACACTTGTTTCTTCTTTTTTTTTTTAGCTCACCTGAGCTATGAGCTCAAGTGAGCTTTTCTCTTCATCTGTTGTCTAGCATCTATCTGTCATTGAATCAGTCTAACTTTCCACATTATAACTTCTTTACAAGAACTACTTGGCCAAATTTTACTTCTCAAGAACAGCAGGGTCTTGAATAGTCATATTAATATGCAAGTAACATCAGGTAGTGCAGATTCAAGTTTCTTCAAATCATGGCCCCTGAGTGGGGCCATAACAAGAGTTAGAAGTTTTACATGGGAATATGTAGGGAAAAATCCTTGCAAGAACCACTGGGTCATGATTAGTCAAATTAATCTGCAAGTATATTGTAGATTAAGATTGTTCAAATGATATTCCTTTGAGGAGGGGATGGAGGTTGGGGGGTGAAGTACAGGGCCACATTAATGGATCAAGTTCTACATGGGAATCTACAGGGGAAAAGATTTTAAGAAGTCTTCTCAATAACAATAGGACCATGAAAAGTCATATTGAAATGCAAGTATCAAGTGTGATCAAATCATGGCTCCAGAGCACAGGGTGCAGCCACAATAAGATCAAATTTGTATATAGGTCACAATATTTTATACAGGAATAAATATGATAAAAATCTATTAAAGTCATGGTCTCTCTTGGGTAGGGAATCAAAATTTTACCTAAGAATGTGCAGGAAATTTTAAAAATTCTAGGGAAGCATGGCCTTGCTGAATCATATTACATGTAATACCATAAGTGTTTATTCTATTTTTTTTTTTTAAATCATGGACCTTGGGGTAAAAATGGGACTAAAATTGGGGATCAAATTTTACTTTTTGTTTCATTGGCTTTGGCATAATAAAACCAATATAAAAAGCCTGGTTCATATAACCAAGGGTGTTTTACAGGATGACTATCTCGGCCTATTAAAATGAATATACAATTTCGAGCTCAAATAGCCGAAAATATTTTACCATAGAATATTACCAGAGATTTTGCACAAAATCCTTGTATTCAGTTATTTTTTATTGCGAATATACATGGATGTTGTGCTTTTTAGAAAAGTGCAAACATGTATATGGTTCAATTTTCTCACAAAAAGAGACTTAAAAATTGCATGATTGATATTTTGTAAATATTTAGAAAGTGATGCAATAATGCGATAAAACTTAATAATAAAATTTTCAAATTTGGATCTTTTTTCTTAAGCTATGCTAAAAAAATCATTATCTTCAAAAATTATGCATGATATCTGCATATTGTAACAATTTTGAGAGAAAAAATTAAGAGTATGTTATTGTTTTTCTTACAATAACCATTTATTGAGCAAAAATATGTTACAGCTGTTTTTACAACTTGACATATCGTATGACCAGTTATTTTCTCTTTCGTTGTGATCATTTTTAGATCACAAAGAATTAGAATAATATTATCACCCTTTAGATAAATTTTCTAATTACAACTGGGAGAATTGCAGAAATATGAGAACGCAAATTAAAAATACATGTTACAGTGTTTTAGAATATTTTCACAAATGTGATACGTAGGATAAAAAACTTGTTAGGTATGCATACTGAATCATAATCTAAGCAACAGTTGACATTGGATTACTACATAAGAATACGTTCCAGCTGTTTTCATTACTTCACATATCTAGTAGCATACTTAAATAAACTCTATTGACTCTAGAAAAACTATGCCATAATAATGGTGTAAAAGTATAGAAAGTTTATAAAGAATATATAGTAAAATGAAAAAAATATTATTGGTATTCATTTTAAGCTGTGGCTATTAAGGACAGACGATACGTTCCTCAATAATATATAATTTTTTCTAAGATTTCGTCTTTGAAGTATTGCTACTTTAATATGTTTACTCGCAAAAAATTGAGGTACCTTACCAGGCATTTGTGCAAGATACAGGAGGATGTTGTTTCCTATGAAATCCCTTTGGAACAAACTTAATTAGTCAATAACACATTTTTAAGTGTTTCAATTTTTTAAAGACAATTAGAAACCAGTTTAGAAATCAGAAGGTAATTAAAATTTTGAATATTTTCCACACAATACAAAGATATACAAAACAGATATTTGAGGAACGTATCGTCTGACCTTAAAAAGAGTATTTTTTGGTTTATTACATTATGAACATGTGGCTCTAGAAGTGCCTGGACATTTAAAGGATGTTGCATGTTTATGGGGAAAAAAAATCTTCAAAATATTTTCTTTAGAACAGCAAGGCCATTTTAGTCAAATTGATATTAAAGTTTATCCCAGTGTAGAGTGATTCAAGTTTGATAAAGCCTCTAGGCCAGGGCTCTAATTGGCGACTAATTTAGTTGCCATGGCACCTATAAATTATGATTGGCACCTAAAATTTTTCTCTTAGTCGCCAAATTGGCGACCATTTTAAATTGACTTGGTGATCGTCAAATTACTGAACTAGAAACACTTTCATTTTTTTTTTTTTTTTTTATAAAAAGAACAGAAAAGAAGTTTAAAAGTTAGCAATGGACATTTCTCTATATATTGACTAATATCGGTTTTTAAATTAATGCTTAAGAAAAATTTACCTGGTGACTAAAAATTTGCATTGGCGACTAAATTTTTTTGATTAGGAGCCAGTTGGTGCCTAAATTTTAGAGATCAGATAGAGGCCTGCTCTAGGCCTCTTGTATATAAGTACGAATCAGTTGAGCTATAGTCTCAGAGACTTCTGGTTTATAGTTGAATTCTGATTTTGAATTATTATATTTGCCTCTTTTTCAAAACATACACCTGTGCCAGTAGGCAACATTTTTTTAACAATCTTTTCAGATTGTTCTAGTACCGTTACCAGAAGACAGCTTAAGTTGTCTTCATTCACCTTTTGTTAAAATAAGTCTTGAAATCATTATTGTGAAAAATATGTATAATATACATCTTAAATTTTCAGATTATCTGTTTCATGCATGGTTGTAGAGTAGGATTTTTCCGTGGTGATGTGAAACTATTGACAGAAGACATGCAGGCATTGAGACCTACACTCTTTATCACTGTACCACGACTTTTAAATAGAATCTATGACAAGGTAGTCACTTTGGACTGAATTTTTAGGTTCGACTCAGAAAACATGTAAAAGCATTTAGTTTAAGTTTTCAATTACATAGAAAGAGTGCTTAAACATAAGCATTTTAGTCAAAACTTTTCAATCCTGCAATATCAGTTGTCTACCTTTTTCAGATTTTAAACAATGTACAAGGCAGTGCAATCAAGTCAAAGCTGTTGGAATGGGCAGTGGCATCAAAATCTTGTGAGGTTGAAAGGTCAGTCTATGTGATTTGTCTGTTTGTATAATAATTCTTTGATGCATACAGTATGAAAATACCCGGTAAGCATATAGATAGATATCATTTAGACCTGATTAAGCAACCTCAGATATAAGAAATATTTCATGGAGTACAGCGCAAGGTTTCTGAAGTATTATACCATTATTGCTGTTTTGGAGGTCAATAAGATGATTAAGACACCTGAGGAGTACAATATTATACTTCCAAGGTGGCTAACTCATCATATAGAGTAAAAAAAGCAGCAATAATCTTTTTTTTTTTTTAGGTCACCTGAGTCACTCAGGTGACCTATTGCTATCCGTTTTCGTCCGTCGTCGTCCGTCGTGCATTGTGCGTCGTGTGTTAACATTTGAACATTTTCAGCTTCTTCTCTAAAACCGCTGAACCAATTTCAGCCAATTTTGGCATATGGCATCTATGTGTGAAGGGGAACAAAATTTGTGAATTTCATGGTCCCTGCCCCCCTGGGGCCTGAGGGGTGGGGCTAAAACCACCAAAATTAATGCAATTTTTAAAAATCTTCTTCTTTACTCCTGGACAACAAGGGGTCAAACTGTTGGCATGATTGTAATAAGCATTGAGCCCTCTACCAAAATTGTGAAATTCATGGCCCCAGGATCAAGGGTTCTGGTGCTAGGGCGGGGCTATATAGATCATATAGTGAAAGTGCATTATTTCTTTGAAAATCTTCTTCTCTACTCCTGGGTATTATTGAAACAAATTGAATACATAGTTATGATAAGCAAGGGTGACTGTACCAAAATTGTGAAATTCATGGCCCCAGGGTCAAGGGTTCTGGTGCTAGGGCGGGGCTATATAGATCATATTGTGAAAGTGCATTATTTCTTTGAAAATCTTCTTCTCTACTCCTGGGTATTATTGAAACATATTGAATACATAGTTATGATAAGCAAGGGTGAGTCTACCAAAATTGTGAAATTCATGGCCCCAGGGTCAAGGGTTCTGGTGAAAAGGTGGGGGGGGGGCTCTATTGATTATATGGTGAGAAAGCAAAATTTCTTTGAAAATCTTCTTCTCTACTTCTGGTTATTATTCAAACAAATTGAATACATAGTTATGATTAGCAAGAGTGACTGTACCAAAATTGTGAAATTCATTGCCCCAGGGTAAGGGGTTCTGGTGCTAGGGCAGGGCTATATAGATCATATTGTGAAAGTGCATTATTTCTTTGAAAATCCTCTTCTCTGCCCCTGGTTATTATTTAAACAAATTAAATACATAGTTATGATATGCAAGGATGCCTCTTCCAAAATTGTGAATTTCATGGCCCCAGGATCAAGGGTTCTGGTGAAAAGGGGGGGGGGGCTCTATTGATTATATGGTGAGAAAGCAAAATTTCTTTGAAAATCTTCTTCTCAACTCCTGGGTATTAATTAAACAAGTTAAATACATAGCTATGATAGGCTGACTCTACCAAATTTGTGAAATTCATGGCCCCAGGGTCAAGAGTTCTGGTGAAAAGGGGGGGGGGGGCTCTATTGATTATATAGTGAAAAAGCAAAATTTCTTTGAAAATCTTCTTCTCTACTCCTGGTTATTATTTAAACAAATTGAATACATTGTTATGATAGGATGCCTCTTCCAAAATTGTTAAATTCATGGCCCCAGGGACAGGGGTTCTGGTGCTAGGGTGGGGCTATATAGATCCTATAGTGAAGGTGAATTATTTCTTTGAGAATCTTCTTCTCTGCCCCTGGGTATTATTTAAATAAACTAAATACATTGTTATGATATGCAAGGATGCCTCTTCCAAAATTGTGAATTTCAGGCTCCCAGGATCAAGGGTTCTGGGGAAAAGGGGGGGGGGCTCTATTGATTATATAGCGAAAAAGCAAAATTTCTTTGAAAATATTCTGGTTAAAAAGCAAAGAAGCTAAGTGTATAGTTATGATGAGCAAGAGTGCTTCTTCCAGAGTAGTGAATTTCATGACCCCCTGGGTCAGATGTGCTGGTGTAAGGGTGGGGCTCTTGATAATATAGTGAAAATGCATTAATTCTATTAAATAATCCTGTCTGCTCTTAGTGTTAAGCAGACAAACAAAGTGATTACTTATGATGAGCAAACTTCTGGTCCCAGGGTGAAAGGCTCTGGTGTTTCTCAGTGGGGAGAAGGGGGGGGGGTGCTCTATTGATAATATAGTGAATCTGTAGTAAAAATGCATTATTTCTTTAAAAATCTTCTCGGCACCTGGGCATATCAGAGGCAAAAAGAGTAAAAGTTTTAATAAGGAAGGGTATTCTTACCAGATTTTTGAACATCTGGACCATTTGTTCAAGTGTTCTGGTCCTGTCCAGGGCTCTATTAATTTGTATTCTACTGAGAGGAGTTATTCCCCTTTGCCATTTACTTTTGATAATTAATCACTGTAAATAATGTACTTGAAAGGTTAATAGAATAGGAGAATTATGCAAGAATTGTTATTGTATAATACAAAAAGTACTCTCTTAGTTTTAATGATCAGGTAGACATGTAAGTAGTAGATAAATAAAAATCAGACAAAAATAACTTGTCTTATGAAATGTTCATCAAAGACCAAGAGAGGCCAATGTAAGAGATTTCAACAAGGAATGAAGCACTGATAGTTTTTTAATATACTTATGGTGAGAGTGATAAATGGGGAAGAGATTAGAACCTAATTTATGAACTGTTAATGAATACTAGACTAATTATTTTGTTGATCCTGATCACCCTATTTTTCTTGCTTTTGGGCAACAAAGGTTCACCTTTTAGTTCATTTTATACTCTATGGATTCTCTAAATTGTTGTATGATACTCAGGTGACCGTTAAGGCCCTTGGGCCTCTTGTTTTCATAAGATTCAATAATTAAATGATACAAACTCATTAAGCTCTTGCTTGTTTCCATTTGCTGAAGTCCTAGCCAAACATAACAAGAGAAATAGGGATAAAATATACATAACCAGTATTGATTTTGAATTTTTGAATCTATTTTAGGTGCAATATAGGAAAAATAAGTGCAGGTTTAAGGGACTGCTTTAAAGAAGGGGGGGGGGGGGGGGGGGGGGGCAGGTATTATAAGGAAAAAAGACAACATACCTGAAAAAATCTTCAACTGATCCCTCAAACAGAGGAGAATTCTCTCAACTCCAGTTTTTTTTTAACTCCATTTTTTTAGGGGAATGTTAAGGTCCATGAAAGGGGGGTCAGCCTTTCAATAAACATTTATACTTAATTTAAAGTAAAAATTTACAATCAAAAAAGTATTGGAAGGGGGGGGGCAAGCCCTCCACAGCCCCACCTCACTCCTACCCCTCGATCACCCCAGATTCTATGTGCCTGAATGTAATGGTCACCTAAGTAGAAGTCAGGTGAAAGTGAAATAACTTTCCAGAACTTTTTGTATCAATTTGGAATTTCCCAATCTTTTTTTAGTTCAATGTAGAAAAAAATAAATCCTTATATTCACCTGAAAGGTCTCGTGCAGGTGAACCTAATAACATAGTATTTTTTCTACAATATTGGATCTCAGCCAATCAGGGAGATATGATTAATTCAATCATATAATAAAATGGTTTATTTAAATGTGCATTTATATTACCTTGTACATGTGTAAGAAATCAACTTGTTCTAAAATGTTTATGAAACTTACTGTATATTTAATGGCAGTTGATGAAAAAAACTATGATTTATTCTTTTTCTGACAGTGGTATTGTGAGGAAAAATAGTATCTGGGATAAGCTGGTGTTTGGGAAAGTACAGACATTATTGGGAGGTAGAGTGAAGATCGTCATCACAGGTTCTGCTCCACTAGAGGCCAAAGTTTTCAAATTCATCAGAGCAGCATTTGGTTGTGTGGTTAGTTCTCTTTCAGTCATCTCACTCTCTGTGGACTGTATCATTTCATCATTGTAATATATCCATATATATATAATTTTTATTCAGGTAATGGAGGGATATGGACAGACAGAAGCAACAGCTGGAATCACATTCAGTATACCAGGGGACCCATCAACGGGTTAGTTGATTAAATGGAGAAACTAGTACTTCTTGTCTTCTAATTTTGAATACCAAGCTAACTTTACATATTGTACGTTAAAAGGGGATTTATTGGGTTCTTTTTCATAATGCTTAATGATCTATATTCAAATTGTTTTGATTTTTTTTTTCACTAATTGTTTATCCGACTTCACCATTCCTTAATATATGTGTATTGTAGGCCATGTTGGTTGCCCTCTTCCTTGTGCCAAAGTAAAACTGGTTGATGTGCCAGAAATGGATTATTATTCAAAGGATAATAAAGGAGAGGTAACCTGATTCTAATCATTTATTTGTTATATTAATGCATTGCTAATATTCCAAATCTTGGGTGTTTAAAATTGAAATGATACATTTACATGGAACACACAGATGAAACTCGGATATTATTATTAACTCCTTTCATTTTGATTAGTGTCAAATCATTTATGCAGGTTTTTGTACACTATGAAGTATAATGAACATTTTCTATTCATTTCAACTAGATTTGCAGTTACAGTCCCAGTACCTTCATTGGATATTTCAAGAATGAAGAGAAGACAAAGGAAACTATAGATGATGATGGCTGGCTTCACACTGGAGATATTGGACAGTGGTTACCAGTAAATATGAAGAGTTTTATACAGATACTCTAAGTCTCTTTTCAGATTTACATTTTAATGTCTCTAGGAAGCTTGAAATTGCATTTATACAACCGTAACAGTGTAACAGTTAGGTTATTATTGTTAGTAAAATTAAAAATAAACAAAATTGTTAATTTCTTTCCTGAAATGGCAATCATAATAATTTACTTTTTTTTCAGAATGGAACACTGAAAATCATTGATAGAAAGAAGAACATATTTAAACTTTCACAGGTAAATTTGTTTCCTAGATTTTTTCGGATATAGGAATCACCTAGGGATAGTGCTAAAATAGGCTATGCCTGCTGCCTAATCCCATTCACTTTATGTGAATGAAATTATGTATAAATATAGGAATCACCGTATCTGTCTTAAATAAAGGGCAGTAATTAAGTAAATAAAAATAACATACATCCATTAAATTTAACTTGATGAGCAACTTAAAATATATTCAGAAGTTTGATGAGATGTATCATTGTAATTGATAATATGGAATTTCAAAAGTTAAAAACATAAAATCCTACAACTATATGATATGGAATGTTTTGTCTGGTTATAGATATTTGATTAAGCATATCCAGTTGAGCTACTTATCTCCTAAACAGAGCTGTGGTTTGTTCATGCATTTCCAAGATATGTATTACAAGATACGCATGTATAAGGAAAACTTAATCAACAGAATTTTCATGTTGTTGGCAATTGTAGGGAGAATACATTGCTACAGAGAAGATAGAAAATTGTTATACCAGAAGTAGATTTGTTGCTCAGGCATTTGTAGATGGAAACAGTCTAAAGGTTAGATTCTTAACTATAAACATTTACTTATCAATTTTCCAGTATATGACACAGATTAATGGTAAAGTTTAGTATTCATGAGAACCAAAACAGAACAAACTTAAATGTTTAATGAAAGGCACATGATAATCAGATGGGTTTGATTCTTGGCTTCATACAGAACAATGTGGTGGGGATAATTGTTCCAGACCCAGAGGTCATGCCAGGATGGGCCAAAGAACAGGGAATCTCACCAGACATGGTAGAACTGTGTAAAAATAAGGTACACTGCATCCCACATTCATTAGTTATACATGTGTACAATGTTTCAAAGAGGTAAATGTTTTTGATAACTTTATTTTCAATTTTAGACCAGTATGGTATGCACTGGTACAATATTGCCCTTTCCTCTGTGACAAAAAGTACTCTAAAGTCATTTATATAAATAAGAAAAATGAAACTTGGCACAAATATAAGTAAAATATCAATTCTTATTGTCAGTATTTCAATAAAAGTCTGAGAGAACAGGGAATAAATAAAAAATACATTTCTTTTTGAAGAGAGAATAACATTTTCATTATTTTAATATGTACTGGTACATATATGTATATCAAGAGTTCCAGTCCTGTTGCGATTTCAAAAAAATATTAAGAAATTTTTATGTATTTTTATATATTTTTATTGTAGAAAGTCAAAGAAATGATTTTTAAGGACATAATAAGAGTGGGAAAGGAAGCTGGACTGAAGTCATTTGAACAGGTAATATTGATAAGCATGCATTTAATATACCAATGTCAAATGTTACTGGTATTTAACTGGTACATAAAATATATAATATAATAAAGTATAATATCCAAAGTATCAAGCATTAATTAAATAGATCTGATATTTACACTGTACAATCAGTTTTGTTTTACTCTATCTTATCCTCTCCTATACCAGTGTACAGATTTTTCTAATCGGAGAGAGTCTGTTGTCTCTGTATTATATTTGTCAGTTGTGTCTTTTGTAAACTTTTCACATTTTCTACTTCCTCCCCAGAACCACTTGACCAATTTAAACCAAACTTGGCACAAAGTTTCCTTGGATGAAGATGGTTCAAATTTATTCAGATGTAGAAACATACCTCTTTTCAAGGGTAGCTAATTAAGAAACAGCAAAAGTAGGACTGGCTCATCATAAAATCTCAACAGTAACCCGTGAGCCAGGAAAAAGAAAACTACACAGGAGCTTTTTTATGTAGGGAAGATTTTAATTTGATCAAACCATGGTTTTCAAGGCAATTGGGGTCAAATTTATTACATTGAAAATTCTTTTTTAAATTTTGTTCTTAAGAAAAAAAGGAGATATAAAATGTAATGTAGATTTGAGCTTGTTCTAGTCATGATCCCATGGGCTTAGGGCTAAAAAGGTTAAGATTTTCATAGAAGTGTGTAGAATCCCAAAACATGTCTGCAGCAGTCATTGATACCTTTATGCCATTATGGCTTTTGACTTTGAACAAGACCCATAGGAAGTGGTCTCATTGCAGATATATTTATTTCACAGAGGTGAAGTGAGAGATATCAGTGAGACTTTAGTGTGCATTGTGAGCCAGCCTCTTGTTGAATTTTCTTTTGTAGGTTGCAAACATTCATCTTTTTCCCGAACTGTTCTCCCTTGAGAACAACTTGCTGACACCCACATTTAAAAACAAAAGACCAATTCTAAGGAAGAAATTTCAGCCTGTGATAGATGAACTGTATGCTGAATTTGAAAGATGAATTTTTAATAAACTTTGTGAAGGATGAAATGTTGATACTGTTTATTTTCAAAAGAAAGCCTTTATGAAGATAATTTAAACTAGTATTTACTTAATCTATCAATTGTGTATTAGTCTGTTTATATAAATGTTTAGATAGGACAGCTATGTTCTAATCAAAAACCCTACATATTTTTAGGGACAATAACTACAGTAATAATATTCAAAGTATAGTGGCAAAATGTATGAACAATTTTTAATTGCACAATATAAGGATTGTACAAATTTTAGTAACATATACATGTATATTTATGTATAGTTATATCCCAGATGATTTATGTATACATGTACATTGTACCTGTATTATTTTTATTCAAATTTATTAGTTTTTTTTTACATTCTTTAAAAGAGGACGGTTACTATTAAAAGATTCATATATGACTTTTTACAATAAGTACTAGGTACATTTTATACATCAATTTTTGCTGTATCACTTTTAGATGCTAATATTGACCCTTTTTTGGAAGTGAAATTTAGGGGAAAAAACCTATATACTCCCAAATCTTCCATTACAGGGGAATTACACATTTTAGCAAATATTTCATTTGTTTGTTACCCATGAGTTTTGGAGATTGGTGTGTATTTTGACTCCCGGTATTTCTTTTTTTTAAACCATGACAAAAAATGCATACTCTTGTTTGATTTCAGGAATAAAAACTTGTAACTGAATCAAATGGTAGGAGTGATTAATTGTAAAAATAAGAGCAACAAGCCAGGACTCAGCTTGTCTCATGTCATTTAACTATTTGAGAAGGATTATATTTACTCCCTAGAAGGATGAGGTGAATATTGTTCCTAACGTATAGATATTGTTCCTGGAAAATAACTAATGAATTATATTGAATAAACACCAGTCAATATGGGACCATGTGTTTATATTATGCAAGAGGCCCAAGGACGTTGACAGTCACCTGAGTATAACACAACCCTGTAACTGTTCCATAAAGTAGCAATTTAATAATTATATAATCAAGCAAAATAAACTGAAAGATGAAGATATGTTGCTCAAAAACAAAATAGGGCAATCAATGATCTACAAAAGTCTAATCTTTTTTATAATTTTTAAAAAGTACCAGTATTTACATGAGATGATTTTTTTTTTGGGGGGGGGATGACCTCTAGATTACTGTCAAATGGTCATGAAACATGGATAATGAAGATATGTAAGTACAGAATGAAAACCTCAGCAGCAAGCAAATTAAAAATATTGCATTTCTATGGGTAAAGAAGACAATACATGTGACTGTTACTGACAGCAATGGAAAGGGAGATAAACAAAAAAAAAACAAGGACAACAACTCTGCTGAAAGTAGATCAATTCACTACATGATTAATAGAGCACCACCCTAACACAAGAACCCCTGACCCTGGAGACCCTGGAGCCATGAATTTCACAATTTTGGTTTTATAGCCATTTAAGTTAACATCAGTACTCTGTTTTCATGAGATTCATAAAGGCCAAAAAAAAGGATGCCTAGTTATTTTATGCAAAGAAACCACTCATGCCACTTTCATGTTTATTTCACAGTAGATTCCTGGCCCCAGGATCGATCATGAAGCAGTTTTAATTTTTGGTCAAATATCAATGTTTATAAAATGATTTATTATAAACTGATACTCGAAAATTAAAGGACATGAGCGAACAAGCTGTGCAAAATGCCTATAGCTTCAGATATACCGGTATATAAATAATATTCAGCTTGTGAATTTGGCATTTAGAGTTAAACTCTCATTATTGAAAGTTACGAAATTTATGATAAACAAAACTTTTCTGAGGAAAATTTTCTTGGCAAAAATGACATGTACGATATTCTGTTATTAAAAAATAATGTGGTATTCGTGGGGTTCGAATCCTAGCAATAAAAATCCTGGGTATCATTTTCCTTTGAGACTCAGACTCTTACCACTACGTCACGCAGTTTCTGATGAATAGTGGCATTTACATCATGTTTGTAATATGACCCTTGACTAAATGGACTTCACTTTTTTCTGGGAAAGATGCCAATGTTGTGTCATAAAACTGTATTTTTAAGATAAAGTGGGTCTTTGCTGCATGTTTTTATTAATCAAAAAATGTATATTTTTTTGTAAACTTTCAAGACCCACTCATATCAAAAAATTGTGATATGGTGTGAGAAAATGATCCTTTTAGCCCTCTTAAGTCACCCCGACTAATGTTAATTGTGATTTAAATTCAAGCCACGTGGTGTAGGTTGACCCATTCTAAGGTTATAGGGCAGAACTGGTTTTATAAATGAAATTGGCAGTAAACAGGAAACTGCTATAATCTGTTTCTTTTAACAATTTTTCCTTTAAAAATGTGTTTCCAGAATTTTCTGAAAGATTTTTAAGATTTTAAACAGATATGAGTGGGATTTAAAAAATCACACAATTTACTTAATTAATCTTCGCTTTTTGTGATAATTTACAGCAAAAATTGGAGCTTTAGGGTAATGTCGCGTGTAAAGGACTTAGTGTGAGCTTACAAGTACTGCTAAGCAGTATTGAAAAGCGTCTTTAATTGTTCTACAAAGTCATCGGCGCTTTGTTTGAGTCTCAAAATATTCACTCATCAGTCAAACAGGAAAGTTTATATTTTTTCACTGTTTGGCCTATTAATAAAAAATTGACCAAGTATGTTTTAATTAGACAGTACATCAAGCATTACAATACAATGTATAGTAGGACAGCTTGCAATTAAAGAACTTCACTCGACACTCCAATTTTCCTCGGGATGTTTCACATATATCCACATCAGTCTTTCAATAAAAAAAAATCAGCAAAAGTAACTGTTCTTTGATGAGAACTTCGCTCTAAGTACTGTTATCAGAATATATTCTGTTTATCCTTCCTGCTGCTTATCTGCATCACTCTCAAAATTTACACTCATCAGTCAAACATGAGATTTCTTTCTTTTTCAATCTTTCATATACCCAAACTAGGCGTTGCATAAAATAATAAACAGCAATGAAAAAAATTGTCCAAAAATCCTTCGACATTATTTCTGCATTGTTAATTTAGATTCATATGAAAGAGAAGAATCATATAAGAAAATGTGAATGAAAATATTCCATCCAGCCTGTTTTTCAAAACTTTTTCAAAAATAAAAATATATTAGAAAATATGTTGATTTACACCCTATTTTCAATACCATAATGTAAAACAAAAATGGACTTCATTTTATTGATTGACATTGCATTGTAGTGCAGTGCAATAAAATGAAGTTAAATTTTTATTATGATAAACAGTATAAATTCTCTTGCAAAAAAAAAAAATCCACTCATCAGTCAAAAAGGAGTGTTCATTTCTTTTAGATCTTTTGCGCATACCCAAACTAGTCATTCGATAAAAAAAAACAACAACAAAAAACAGCAACACGTAACTTTGCGAAAGTCCTTCGACTTAATTACTGATTGTTAATTTTGATTCAGATCAAAGAAAACACATATTTAAGAATGTGAGAATAAAAGAAATGCTCTCTAGTCTGTTTCTGAAACCTTTTTTTTTTTTTTCAAAGCATAAAATGAAAAAAAGTGTGTGTATTCAATCAGTTTTTAAATTCAATTAAGAAAAAAAATTGACTAAGTTAATTTTGATTGGACAATTTGGCAGGCATCACAATGTATCACACTGTATTGCAGCAGTGTGCAGTATGGTGCAATTCTACTTGCAAGCGCATACCCAAACTAGTCATTCGATAAAAAAACAGCAACACGTAACTTTGCGAAAGTCCTTCGACTTAATTACTGATTGTAAATTTTGATTCATATCAAAGAAACAAATATTTAAGAATGTGAGAATAAAAGAAATGCTCTCTAGTCTGTATTTGAAACCGTTTTTTTTTTCAAAGCATAAAATGAAAAAAAGTGTATGCATTCAATCAGTTTTTAAATTCAATTAAGAAAATAAATTGACTAAGTTAATTCTGATTGGACAATTTGGCAGACATCACAATGTACTGCATTGTATTGCAGCAGAGTGCAGTACGGTGCAATTCTACTTGTATTTAAACAAGTACAATTATTTTACTTGTCAATGTATTAGAAATATTCCCCACCATCCCCTCCAAAGACAGCTTTTATATACAATTTGTCCTTGTGATTCAATGTTTCTTTGGAAATTTGCATAATGTAAGTTTTGTTTCAAAGTTCGATTACTCAAATTATGTCCCTTTGAACAACGTAGACAAAACGATCATTGATTTCTCCTTTATATTATGTAAATGTTTAAGTAATGCTAACGAGTAACAGGCTTGTGTACTATATATAAGACGTTAGGGAGACATTCACAAATGACCATGTGTTAAAGTCTGAGTAAATAACGGTAATGTCGCGTGTAAAGGACTTAGTGTGAGCTTATCTCACTAAACAAGTACTGCTAAGCAGTATTGAAAAGCGTCTTTGATTGTTCTACAAAGTCATCGGCGCTTTGTTTGAGTCTCAAAATATTCACTCATCAGTCAAACAGGAAAGTTTATATTTTTTCACTGGTTGGTCTTATTATTAAAAATTGACCAAGTATGTTTTAATTAGACAGTACATCAAGCATTACAATCCAATGTATTGTAGGACAGTTATATTCTTATTTAAAAGCAAAATTAATTAGCTTGCAATTAAAGAACTTCACTCGACACTCCAATTTTCCTTGGGATGTTTCGCATATATCCACATAAGTCTTTCAATACAAAAAAAATCAGCAAAAGTAACTGTTCTTTGATGAGAACTTCGCTCTGAGTACTGTTATCAGAATATATTCTGTTTATCCTTCCTGCTGCTTATCTGCATCACTCTCAAAATTTACACTCATCAGTCAAACATGAGATTTCTTTCTTTTTCAATCTTTCATATACCCAAACTAGGCATTGCATAAAATAATAAACAGCAATGAAAAAAATTGTCCAAAAATCCTTCGACATTATTTCTGCATTGTTAATTTAGATTCATATGAAAGAGAAGAATCATATAAGAAAATGTGAATGAAAATATTCCATCCAGCCTGTTTTTCAAAACTTTTTCAAAAATAAAAATATATTAGAAAATATGTTGATTTACACCCTATTTTCAATACCATAATGTAAAACAAAAATGGACTTCATTTTATTGATTGACATTGCATTGTAGTGCAGTGCAATAAAATGAAGTTAAATTTTAATTATGATAAACAGTATAAATTCTCTTGCAAAAAAAAAAATCCACTCATCGGTCAAAAAGGAATGTTCATTTCTTTTAGATCT